CGATAGGTCGAAATCACAACAGAGGAAGCACACTTGCGGCTGCTTTTATTTAAGCAGTTTATTTTGGCTTACACTGGATTGCAATGACGCTTAAGTAAAAGAACAAGTTTAAATATATCGGTAGTAAGTTGTACATTGACTGACAAAAGGTTTAAGTATAACAACTACTGGTAAAAGTTTTCAATTAGCAGCACAATAAGTGATAAAAGTATTCCTGATAAAAAGGTGAAGATGTGAACTGTCTTCATTGTACCAGACGACTTCTCTTGAGAATTAACGTTATGGAATGGTACTGAAGAAAAAAAGAAAAAAAAGGCAATGAGATCAAGAAACTCATCCCTTTCCTAAAACATTTTTAAGAAACCTCAAACATTCAGGGAGTATTCTTGGCGAAATAGCAGTTGCTAAAATGGAACATGAACTGGCCAAAACCGTTCGGAAAATAATTTGTTTTGATACCTGCCGGGCAAGTCGGAAATATTTAAATAATAATTAAGACACTTTCTATTGAGTGACAATAACGATCCGAAATCGCTTTGGTTTTGCATCGCTTAGCTCTGCGATTGGTCAATAAGTTCACAAAAACAATCAGATGCAAAAGTTCTTCAATCCGATCCTTTAGGCCGTTTGGTTGGTTTTACTCCGAGTTCTGATAATAAATTCCTTTATTGAACCAAAAATATAAATAAAATGTTGTGTGTTCTTGGAACTCATCACCAAGGGACATGGGAATGAGTAAAACAAATGAAATTCTCGTGATGGACAGCACTTTTGTGAGTTCACAAAACCATCAGAGAATTCTTCAATCCGATCCACAAACTTTACGGAATAAATACTTTTGCATCTGATGTCACCCAGGGACATGGGAAAAAAAGATGATTTTTGTGTTGAACCAGCTTTTGAATGTGATTTTGAACCAGCTGAATGTGTTTTGAGGATTACAAGTAAAGTTGGTAAAATCAGTGATGAATTAGATTACCGTTTACATCAAGAGAATATACATTTTATATTTACTTGGTTCACATTTACTCCAGAGGTGCATATGATAATTCAGACATAGCACAAAGCTTCTTTGAAGAAGAAATACCTGTACAAGTTCCGTTTTTCACTAAAGTTAGTTCTTCTTCCTTTTCGCAGGCTGTTTTTTTCAACAGACACTCGTTGTCATATGTGACATTATCCGAGGCACAAACTTGTTTGACAGCTTTAGGACATTCCTGAATGCACTCGCATTTTTCTTGGTTTCCCTTGTGCTTCACGCAGCGAGAAAACGGAGAAGAACACTTTTTGTTGCAGCCTAAGAGGTGACAATGTAGTAGAAGCTTTTAAACTTAGAACATCTGGGAAATGCCGGAGCTTGTAAAAAACGTATATCCTCAACACAAGCAAATTCAAATTCTCGCCATCTTTGAAAACTGCAGAGGTTTATGGAACAGATATAGAGAATAACACATAGGCGCGCGTAAATATGGAATTTCTCTTCGAATGTTTAACTCGATAGCTCACGAGTGAGCGCAGCAGGAACTGCTGGAGCTCGTAAAAATGTAAATCGTCAGCACAAGAAAATTCAAATTCTCGCCACAAAGGTTTATGGTAAAGATAAAGTCTTATTCTCGGCCGGAGAGAATTGGCCAGTGTTGCTACTTTGAGGAGACAGGTGCTCCAGAACACACATACTTTCCATCACCGTCAAAAGTATTTTCAAAACAATGGCACTGACTGCGTTTAAGATTCCAAATGGTAATCTGATCTGTCAAAAACATTATATTAGCAGTTTATCCACACAGTTTATAACAAATCTTACCTTTATCCGTGTATAAGTGTGACTCTTTGCAACCGTAAAGCTCTACACGCATGCACCGCTGACCGAAAAAAGAGGTAGGAGAGAAACGAACAAAACGAGCATCGATGCGAGGCTTCAGCCAGTGATGGACGATAGAGGACTGGTTCGTATTTCCCTGAAATTGCTTTTAAATTTAAAAAAGAACTTCAGTTGGTCAATGTCGCACATTGATGATCTGACGTTTAAATAAATGGGTTTTTCTTCATCCTTTTCTCCATTTTTTTGGGTTGATGAGGATTTTCTTTGATGAATCAATTAACTACTTGTAGTCAGTTGAATGTCTCCTATACGCCAACCTTTTCTTTTTCATCCTTAGTAGGAAGAATGAACAAATTCGTGCAAAAAATGAGAGCTGTTTTCACAGAGAAGTCTTGACAAGGCTTAAAAATCACTGAAGAATCAAAGATTAACCTCAAGACTCTAGTAAACAGTGTTCCCATCAATTTAAGCATAAGGATGTTTGTAAGCATTTTTTGGGGGAAGTTACTTAGGCTTTCTCACGAAAGGACTCATGAAATCGCGTCTGTAGTAGGTAGCAATGGCTATATTTGAGTGTGATGTGAAAGGTTAACTATTAGTTAGTTAAACATAAAATTCTCTAAGAGTCACCTTGCTTCTTCCTTTGTGACTTTCTTTTTTTTCATAAACCTCGATTAATATCCAGTCAGTACCATCCAAGCTGTAACGAACCAGATATCTGCTCACCCAAAACTTTTCTGTGACGGCGCCTTGGGTAGAAAACCCTGACAGAACATAGACTGACAGCAAATCCACTTGTAGATATTGTGTTCCCATGTCATGAGTTGGAGCACTGCACCAGGAGCTGCAGGCAAGACAGCAACAGATATTTCTTTCCGTGATATTGGATTCGCTACAAAATGCTTTTGATTCCCGATTAGCCAAGCCCGGTATTAACCCGAACCAATATTAATTTCTCATGAAATTCATTAATACATTTTTTGCGATCTTTACTTCGCAAGCTTGAACCCCGCTCGAGCCGAAAGACTCGAACCCCAGTAGGAAAAATCTATTTTCCCAAGATTTCTCGGTATTTCTTAAGTAACATTTAATTACAGTGTATTAATACGAATCTTTATGGCCTAAAAGGGGACCAACCTTAACCCTATGTCATACCTGTCTTGAGGAGAGCTGATCAGGGAAACCCTTCCCTGTTTGGCGGCGTGGTGCTTGTCGAGTTCTGAGGATGCCGAGATCTGCTTGTCTCTTATTTGTCCATCTTCCAATCCCAGTGAAGATATACAAGCTTTTAAGGAGTAAACAACATCGAACTCAGTTGTTATACAGTGTAAGGTGACGTGAGAAAGGAGGACATAATTTTTAAACAAGGGGGTCCTGCGCTATCGGCTTAGAACGAGGCTAAGGAGTGATCATATGCCTATGGTCTTTTAATGAAAATTGCTTAATTTAAAATGTCAGAGGGTTGAAGGGGGGGTCGCGTGGTTGGGGGCGGAGTGGAGGTCAAATTACAATAGCCCGCTTAGTTAGCGGTTTTATGGGATCTATGAGGAAAGGCTTCGCGGCTGCGAGTGGAATGGGAAAAAGAATACTGAGATAATTGAGAAAGAGGTATATAAATAATAGAAGAGGCACAGCCACTAGTACTGCTAATGATATCGAGCACCCACATAGTACAAGCTACACAACATTTGTCGTTTGTCGTGGCAGCCGGAACAGGGAGTTTAGCAATCTTTAAAGTATGAGGGCCATGAAATAATGTCTTGCTCATTGGGTTTCTCTTCCTCTCTTCTCTATTAGAATAAGCATTGAGTCTTATTAAATGTATGGATGTTAGCTTTTTTTCGAGTTCGTCTTATTCGCTGTAAATTAGCGTCACTTTTGTTCACCATTAGGTGTCTTGAGAATTATAACTCTGGTTGTTCCTTTCGTGTCTGCTGTAGGCCGCCTTGAATATGCCACGCCAAACAGTTTGGTTACATACCTGTACAGGGTCTTTTTCTCACGATCTGTATTCCAGTGTATTTTTCGCAGGCTGCTTTCTTCAACAGGCATTCGTTGTCATACGTCACATTATCTGAGCCACAAACTTCTTTCGTCACTTTAGGACATTCCTGAATGCATTCGCATTCCTCTTCGCTTCTGCTGTTGTTCACGCAGCGAGAGAAAGGAGCATGACACCTTTTCTTGCAATCTATAAATGCTGGAGACATTGAGAGGGCGATAAAATATAGTGTCGAGCCTGTCCGTACGGATACTCTTGTCATACGGACACCTATCAATCCCGGCAAGTTTCTCGTGTCTTTAAAGATTCGAAATTTTTTCTTCAAAAAGAAAAAACTGTAAAAAGGGGAAATTTTCTAATATGGACAACAGGCACTAAATCTCGGTCCCAGAGAACAAAACCTATCTAGACTCAATCTCTTAATCACGGACAGTCCGGTTAATACCAGATTATGTTTTATGTAGGTGATACAATTGTTGCGCAAATATCAATTGACGAAGTTGTGCGCAGTTTGCTCAAGAATTTTATTAAACTTGAACCGAGCAAGGGAAGGGATCGAGGGCAGCTTTGGTTGAAATATATCTTGAACTCAATTTCTCGCTCCAAACTTTACAAACTTTTTGAGGCAAGTATTAGGTTCAATTTGTGGAATTTCTAGCTTATCCTGATGCACACATTTACAAATGTTTAGCTGTGCTGTAGGGAACGGAAGAAACCAATATTACGGCTACTCGAGAAGACTTCAAGGGCGAACTTTTGTAACTAACGGTTCTGATAGAGCCTGGAAATATTTAGGCAAAACTTGCCAGTCATTCTTAAAATGTTTTCTTTTGTGACAGCGTTATACTTTTTTCTAGACCATAAACAGTCACGTTAAGTGCAAAATTTGTGGTTGAAAGTTCAGCCGGAGATACGTAGCTTTCAATAATGTTATAACTTATGACATCGACTAATGTTTGCTTTACTTTATTTCTAAAACACGCTTCCAAGTAAGTAAAAAGTAAGTTCAGGATAGCAGCACGTACGTGAATCTTTTTCCCCAACTGGTGATTCAGTATATATAAACAGGAGCCGCCAAAACTGATATGCATTTGATGTTTGTCTGTGAAAATTATCTGTTCCTAGATGCGAAATGTTTTCCAAGAGTGAAGCTCGAGGATAACTGTAAGATACTAGGAAGAGATACTGTTTCAGGACAAACAAACAAGCATATTTTTCACCAAATGGGTCCTATTGAGTTTATTATCCTTCAAAAATTTTGCAACGCTCGGAAAAAACTGTTTACGAACAGCTTAGCGTTTGTTGCGCGGATCTTTAAGTGGTACGACTTTCTGAATATGTCCCTCGTTTTGTAACAACAGCTTAACGCTGTCTAATCTTGAATTGAAACAAATAAAAAACGAAGGCTTTCATCGCGGTGGACGAAAAGTTGCCAACTGTGGAGTATCACTTGGAGTATAACAATGGATATTTGACAGTTTTAGCTACCGCATATTCGTTCACGTGTGGCGTTTAGACTAATCGCGCGCAAGCAGCAATGTTTTCTGGGTTAATAGCTGACAACTAAAGTTGACTGAACCAATCAGATCACTAGAAGTTAAATATCCGGTCTTTGTAACTTAATTGAATTAGGTGTTAGTCATTAGCTGTGACAGTTACCAAAGCAACTGAAGGCTTAAATTTGTCATCATCCGAAATCTACTGGATATGCCCCTGAGATCTCTTAGGTTCTAATGAGTGTGAAATAATAAGATCTTTCGTATACCTTTTTTTACTATACTAAAAAGTTGTCGTCAATAACCACAAATGCATTTACTAGCCTGGCATGTCATTTACCTCGACATCCTTTCCAACAGTCATATTCAGACAAAAAGTTGTTGAGGTTTCCATTGCATCCACTATAACTAAACGGTTCACATTGTTTAGTTTTCCTGTTAAAAAACCATCTGGGAAATGAAGCCTTACAATTACCAGGCTGTTTGGTCAGATTACAGCGAATGAATTCTGCAAAAAATGACATGGTCAATTTTAATGGTCAATTAAATTCCATCATCATTGAGACACATACAGTAGGAATGAAAAGGGGTAAAAAAAAACTTGAAAGTCTGATATGCTTTTAACTTCACAGTTTTAATAAGTCTTACCTTCTCGCTGCCTTTGCTTCGATGAAAACGGTGTCAACATGGATATGTCGCCAGTGCGGCATCCATATATCTCGACACTCATACACATCCGACCAACATAAGACGTAGGGTAAATAAAAACCCATGTAGCATACAATTGATGCTTCAGCCAGTGACGGACGATAGAGGACTGGTCTGAGTTTCCCTTAAACTCCTGAAAAGAAAAGAAAAAGAATGACGATAGTATGAACATAATTCCTCCATTTTTTTTTTATGAACACTACAAACAACGTTAACAACAGGTCTTAGCGCCCTCTTTTCCTTGAATTGAGAAACTAACTTCAAGTAACTACGTAGAACATTTGTTATGAAAGCCACCTTGATGTGTCCTTTGTCATCAGTGGCTGGATAATAAGGGCCATTCACAAATCTGCCATAGAAGAGATAACTGCTGACCCAACTCCTTTCTATAACTGCTCCTTGGGTAGCTATCGCTGAAATCGCATAAGCCGGTTCGGAAAGTAGCACCATTAGATATGCTTCTTTCTGGCTATCTCCCGAGGCACACCAGAAACTATCAATCAAACAACAACAATTTAAAGGTCAATGGCATAGAGGGCTTTCTGGTGCACGAAGCCGTCAAACGTCTGCGCATGTGCGAACTTTGTAACGGCTGGGCGGCGTGCTTTCAGGCTGTCAGAACTAGGTGTTTCCCAGTTCGAACAGCCGGGCAAGCCGGTAAGTTCAAATATGCTATATATTTCCTTCTCAAGCTCAAAACAAAATGTTTGAAATTTTTCGCGGGGAATTGGCGCGCGGCTGGTCAAAGTTGATCTTTTTGTACATGCTGAACAGTTGACCACTGAGTCTGCTAGCCCCGTCAAAACTTACGCTTGACGGCATATTTGGGTTTGTATATAAAGACTTTTTAATTATTTCAGCAAATTGGGAGTCTGGATAATAGCCTAAACACCACCGAAAGGCTGGCCAACGTCAGAGACCGCGGCGAAAAACCTTTGTTGGTGTTTGTAATTACGAAGGTAAAAAAAAAAAAAAAAAAAAAAAACATGTGATGTTGGCCTACTTTCTCATCTTTAAATCTACATTCGGATTTCAAAACGTTTAGTAAGAATCGTTTTAGGAGTTAACCGGAGAACAGGTTGATTAAAAGTCAAATCAGCTCTTACAAAACGAGCTATCTGTTAATACCTTCCAGGTTTTTTTGATGATCTGGGCGATGCAGTGTCGATGAGCCATGCATGTTGGGCAGCGTGGTTCTTGTCCTTTTCCAACACATTTGACCACAAAAGAGGAAATAGATTGTTATGAAGAAAGACTTGTAACGACATTGGACAAGCTGAAAGCAAATGAATGAATTCGAACTAAGTTTAGTGTTATACGGTGTTGAGCGACACACATCGTGATAGTTAAGAATTACTGAGTGGGAGAGATGTACGTGAAAATATTTGGCTGGCGGTTATGACGCTTGAACTTCGCTAAGGTCAGTCCAAACGTTATGACCTCGGGCGATATATTTTCCCGTCCAGCCTTACCTAAGTCATTCGATGTGGATTCAGTTTCTATATGATCATACTAATTTCTCCGTTTTCCCTTCTCAGATTTTACTCATCTACCAACTGATCAGCTGGTTCCTATCGCTTTGCGCGCATTACCTAAGAGCCACTGATAACATATGGGTGATACAACTCAGTTGGAATCATCGAAAGAAGTTAGGTTCGTTACAACAACAAAATGTTCCAGCAATCTTTCTTGTAAAGCTGTGCGCTAAGTCCTATGATTTTTTCCGGCCCTGCTGGCGCAATCACGGCCCTCAAATGGGGACTTTTCTTATGATGCTGTGCAACAAAAGTGGCCATTGTGCCATACTGTTCATGGAATAAAGTTAAAATTATTTTAAACCGCAGGTCATAAACGTGCTTCAGACACCTAAAATCCCGCAGGTGAATGCATTAGGCGTTGCTCTTTTACCTAACTGTCATCATGTAGATATATGTGTAAAAAACGGTTAGACATACCTTCTTTAACACATTTAGTTCCATTTGACAAGATAACTGGATCGCAGAAATGAAGATAAAGCCGCGCTGCGTAGGTCCGTATCTGAGAGCAACGTTCAGCTAGTCTGTGTGATTTATCCCTTTTACGTGCTATGCCTGAAAGTTATATAAAAAAAGGTAATGCAAAAAAATTATGAAAATATTTCAAATGCAACTAAGTGCCGCGCAACACAAAAACGCAGAGGAAAATGACTCGTTTTTTGTCCTCCATGTCGATCTAAGTGGTTGGGCGCCTGGTAAGATTCACACGGTCGAACGAGAGCGAAAGGGCTTCCAGGTTAATTGCGTAGCAAAAAGAAAACCCAAACCCAAATCCGATGAAATCAGTAAAACTTTAAAACATGGTAAATCAGCTGCCAGATTTGTGCAAGATATGGCCAAATGGCAGCCAAACGGCTACGCGAAAATCGACTTGGAGACAAAAATCGTTTACGCGGCGCAACAAATTAGCTCCATTCTTTGAAGTTTGTTTATTGACATTTGACCATTTTTCTTCATTTTTGAGGTATTTTGATCGAGAATGGAGCAAAAAGGAGGAAAAAAACTACCTTGATGATTTTAGCGTAAGGTCCGGTGGAAAATATAAATAATCGATTATTAGGATTGTTGTCATCGTAGATTTTAAGAGTTTTACAGCCCTCTTCCGTCTAGTTGAGTAATCTTGTTTACATTTGAAGATTTTAGATATATGAAAATTCACATATTTGCACTGCGGTGGAGAGATGAAATTAGAAGATCCTCGCAGCTAAGAACACTACTGAAACGAGTAGTTGTAAATAGGACCTTTACAGCTAAATCATTTCAGCCCACGGCTCGACGACGGACGCCATTTTAAATTATGTTGATAACTCCATGTACCCGGCCTTTGTGCTACCCACCAGACATTTGAACAGAAAACAATAGCGTGACTTTGAGGACAGAAGCAAAACTAGTCGGAAAGGCAGGAGGTAAGGCCTCTGAACCACTAACGCTTGGGTGGACGACGCAGATATTTAGCGACCAAAATAGAAAAAAAGGAACGGCTTGCATTTTAAGACTCAGGTGTTCTTACGGAAGCTGGAGTAAAAATTCTGACGTGACAAATTAAAAGAATATGATTGGCTCTTAAAATCAGATGATCACAAAGTCATAGTGTGACACCAAACGCCGCAAAGCCTTCGAACTTTGCATGACAAAAAAAATATTTTTGAAGAATAATTTGTATAATTAACACAATGCTAGTTTAGTTGTTCTATTTTACGCTTACCAAGAATTTGATAAGTTTCCACATCTTTTATCAAAAGTTCCGAAGTTTTGAAACTCTTTGTGTGACCGCATGTTAGAGTCCCAAGAAAATATCCCTGCCTAGCATCGCAATGATCCAATTCCTTGAGGCTGACAGAGAAGAGATCTACTTCTCCGGTAAAGAGTTTTGGCAAAGGCTTTTCGCACTTGAATGTGATAGTGGGTTTCATTTCAGGTAATAAAGCTGTTATTGGCTTTCCAAGCTTTCTGCAAGAGAAAGTGACAATAAATGCCATTGAACGACATGCTATTTATCCTAACTGAACTTCGCAGTTATTTGGCGATGGCTTGTTGGATATGAATGAAGGAAAGTTTGTCAGCTAGATGCCTATGATAACCTGACATAGAACTAATACCAAGAAAAATTGATGCTATTAAGTGCAGTTGTTTTTACCACACATGTAAAGAGTGCTTTTCAGCCAAGCTGATTGGTTAAATTCGAGGTTTTCATCTTAGTAATTCAACCTCCTCATTTAATGAATTCCGGTTTTAGTCACGATGTAATGACTCATCTACCAGTGAGGCTCAGCTAATTAAAACTGATCCCGGATTGCATTGTCCAGTCATCTAAAGGTTTAAATAATGCCAATAGTAATAATAATTACAATATACCACACAGGTATAAGTGATAAGCAAGTACTATCCACCTCCGAGCCACCGAAGAGACAAAATCGTGCGTCAACTAATTAATGTCTGTCCGATTTTAACTTGTGGATAGCAAAGAAACAAGTTTTTATGATGACTCCGATATGCAAACAAGTCACTCAATCAGGTGTATACACTGTGGTAGTTACTCGTCTCGAACTCGCCCGAGCGTGACGCCATCATCTTAGATGATGGCGGACTTTTTGTTGTTATTTTCAGTTTTCGTTCGCGTAAATTTGTTGCCCCTTTGCTTGGAAATTTAAGAAATTTTGGAGTTTTCATTTCAGCCGAGCTTCGTGTTTCACTTAACAAATTTAATACATATTTTCTACGGAGTTTGGACTCCCACCTCTTTATTCGTAGATGGATTTTCAACCGGAAGAAAAGAAGGAAGGATGTAAGGTATGGAAAGAAAAAAAGTAACTTAAACGAAAAAAGAAATTAATCTGAAATAAATTTTAAAAAGTGCAAAGAGGAAAAGTGAACAAAAACGAAGGTCTAGTGGTGGAAACAGAGATTGGAAGTTCGGAAAGATTGCACAACCTTCCCCTCCTCTCTTTTGGAAAAGAAGGAAATTATACATCATTTACTTACTTCAGCCTCTAAAATCATTTTTTTTTTCGGTTAAATCCTGATTATATAATGTGACGTAATGAAGATGCAATTCTACAATAGTGCAAATAATCGTGAAGGCTGATTGCGGAAAAGTGATTCCATGACGCTCGGTCAGTTGTAAGATGACATGTTATCACATACCGGACGAAAAAACACTTTAAATTCTCAGTCTGCATTTTGTACCCACTCTGCAGTCTACATTTTGTACCTAGTCTATTTTTGGTGTTTTGCGGCGTTTTAATAGAAACTTCCAGGTGGACTAAACAAGATTAAAGACACTTGGAAATGGAGACGATGTTTGTATGGGCGAAGAAAGAAGGATCTGGCATCGTTTTGGAATATAAATACTGTCTGTGTCGTACTCGCCGACAATTTTGCTTGGGGACCTCTTTAAGAACTTGCTTGTCGAGAGTAGCAGCAGGTACGTTCATTGCATTAAAATTTCCATCTGCCTGCTGTTTGCAAACCCTTCAAACATTTTCCACCCGTATTCCGACTTTTTGGTTTTTTTCTTTTTGTGTTTGACGACCTTTCGGCGGCGATGAAATCATCTAGCTCTCCAGTCGAATTGTCTTCGTCGTGCTCGTCGAAGAAACCAACTCGAAAGTCTAGGAAATCTGCTTCTGAGTTTCGTTCTTTTTGTTCGTTTTACTTTTCCTTTAAATGTGTTTCAAAATTTTCTTCGAGAGAAATTTTGGCGATCAAAACAAACTTTTGAATTGAGCGGGCCGTACAACGAAATAGACCAATCATAGCGCATGTGCTAACTGAGAGATAAAATAAGAGGTATCTATTTTTGTAGACCGCCTGAGGAATACTTTTATTATTCTGCGGAGTTACCATCATTCTGGATTTCAAAAATGGTTATTCACCATACTCTAAATTAGCATAGCGCTGAAATGATAACAGAAAATAGTGGATACTTTTGTTAAGTTCGTGAACTCAGAATAAAACCTACCTGGCGTCCATAAACCTCAATGTGACATTCGAGGCCATCACATTCGCAAAAGTTAAAAAACCGGCCAGGAGAAGAAAGCGACTGAGCCGTGGCTCGCTCATTTTACTTTTACAAAAACAGCAACGAAAACATTTCATGTGTTTTTCATGTGTTTTTTGATGGGTCCATGACGCGACAAAAGGTCATTAATTACATCATTGAATACTAGTCAATACGCGCGCAACTAATTAAAAGACGTTCATTTAACATTTTAACGAAAATAATTCATTGAAATAAAATAAAAGATAACAATATGTCAGTCTACATCTTTTTGTACATCTACTATTTAATCACTTTTCTAGTTCTATTATCGCTTACGTACATCTATGTTCTAAATGGAGCAATTTCGTTACAGGCAATGTGGATTGACTACGCGAGACAAACTCTTGTTGTAGTCACACAACATGCGCGTTTATTTAATCAAGAAATGAAATACCAGCCATCTCAATAGTGTCATTTCTTGCTTGTTATTGTTAAAAACACCTAGCCAATTATGGAAATCAGACTTTTTGCATAGAATAAGTGCTTTCATGCAAAATTTTTCCGGTTAAGAAACTTAACTTATAAAAACTTGTAAACAAAATAGGATGTGTTTTTAGGAAGAAAAGACAGTATTCGTGGTAAAAATTCTGGATTAATCAACCTCGTGTTTTTAGCCATCAATTTGCGCCTATAACTTTTTAGGTTATATCGCTGCATGTTATGAAAAAAGAAATAGAAATTAACATTTACGAAAGTTTAGGGATTTCAAATAATACACTCGTAGTGTCTACGACTCACGACTGCAAAACAGTACTTTTTTTTTAAGAACACTGAATTACGTTATCTTTATTACATACTTGAAATTTTTTCATGTCTTGTAGATTTTCTTTAATTGTTTAAATAATTAAAGAAAATCTAAATTAAAATGGAAAAAAATGTTTGACGATCGAGTTTGGTATACAATGTTTTTAAAGGGGCGTTTTATTGTAGATCTTTACATTTTCACTCCCATGGTGGGCAGCCGTAGAGATTTATTGGGACAAAAGAAAGTGTCAACATAGAAAAGAATATTAAATCACAAAGGTCTGACTTGTTAGACTAACTTATCTTTTTATTTCATTGATTTTCTTCTTAGTAAAAATCAAGGAAAATACTTTGAAATCAGACAAATTATCTTTTAACTTAAGCTTTTAAAACAAAAGCAAAAGACGTAAGCGTTCCTTGTTGTTCTGTAAAATAGAAGTGATCTAGGAAATCGAAGTTTAGGTTCCTCGGTAGGCGCGTAGCGTCCTATACGCATATATGCACATGCGTACTTGAAGTGACTAGAAAACTTTGATATTTTTAGCAATTGTTTTTATTTTTAACATTTTACCTGTACGCACCCAAGATTTCGTGATGAAAACACCACTTTGATTAACTTCTAAAAACTAAAACAAAAGCTATACCATGCTCTAACTTAGTTTTGCATTGTACTTTTTTTTTACACTAAACAATGCAGTATTGTTTGGCCAGCGTACAACAAAAAGGCGAGGTTGCAAAGGAGCGACGTTCCAAGAACGTTCTTGACAAAGGAGCGACGTTCCGAGAACATTGTTGACAATTCCAGTCACGCTAGCTCTGACTATAAAATAGATTCGAACACATCTATCTTTCCGGTTTGCTTTTATGCGATACATAATATGTCAAAAAGATCCATCAGAGATTTTTTCAATGTCATCCAAGAAGAAAAAAGTGGACCTAACGATGAAGAAGGTAAGCCGCTCGACCTTATTGCCTGGCCGTGCCGTCAAGCCTATATTCAGAAATATTGTATGTGATGATTTTACAGAAAATTCTCAAGCAGTGGCGGCACCCCTTCAAGATATTTTTCCCAGAAGAATCTAGTACAAGTCAATTCAGACAGAATGACCTTCTCTATCCTGAGAGTTTCACTGAAAGTGGCCAAGTGAAGGTACTCACTGAAAGCGAGAAGGTTGCACTCTTGGAAGGAAGATGGGATAGCGCTGATTTGTTTGCATACAGCTTTCATTTAAGGTTTGAATACAAGTTTTGAATGAAAGCATATTGCTCCACGATTTGCCATGGTATGAATTCTTCAATGAAAACTGATATTTTTAGAAACATTTTCAGAAAGAGTAGAAAGATAAACCCCGACATCATTGCAAGAACACTCTGGTTGAGATACAGTCCTACAACAGACACCCTCTACTGTTGTTACTGTTTATTATTCATCACCCATGATCGTTCTTTCCGTATTCGTGATTGGTCCAATATTTCTAAACTAGTGAAGAAGCATGTCTGCGAAAAAAGTGCTCATCACACTGCAGTAGCTCGGGGACCCAACATCTGTCAACAGCTTCAATCTCAAAGAGCGGAACAAGTTAGAAGGAATAGAATTATCCTCAAGTGTATAACAGAGGTCCTAGTTATGATGGGGAAGCAAAACATGGCTATCAGAGGTCAGCAAGACGAAGATAGCAATTTTATGGCGATGCTGTCTCTATTGGCGAAAGAAAACTCAGTTCTGCGTGACCACCTAGAAAACGCACCTCGGATTTCCAAGTATACATGTCCGGATATCCAGAACGAGATCATCTTTTTTTCAGCAAAAGATTCTCGATGGCATAATTGACAATTGCAAGAGATCTGTCATTTATGCTTTTATTGCTGATGAGTCGACTGATGTTACAAATAAAGAACAAATTTCTATTTGTATACGTTTTACTTTGTTGGCAGGAAAGAGGACGGGAAACATCTCATACGTGAAGAATTCTTTACTTTTGTACATGCAGACAAAGGAACCAATGCTGAGGAACTCACAACAAAATTTCTAGAGACCATCAAGAGCGTCAGTCCTTCAGTGAATGATATGAGAGCCCAAGGATATAGTGGCGCCAGTGTGATGAGTGGGCACGTGAGTGGTGTGCAAACACGGATTAGTCAAGTAAATCCAAATGTTGTCTATGTGCATCGTCGACCTCACGTCTTAAACCTTTGTATTGTCCATGCATCAAAGCATCCACTTGTGAGAAACATCACAGATACCATGCAAGAAGTTACGTTGGCCTTTAAGTTCTCTGCAAAACGTTTGTTGGTATTTAAAGAACAACATGGAGACAATCCTGTTGCTAGAGAAGAAATGGGAAGACGCTCAAAGCTGAAGGTGATTTGTGAAACGAGCTGGGCCTCCAGAGCAGATTGGCTGGCAGTTTTCTTCGACGCTCTCAAGGTATTAATTGATATTCATTATCTGAATCATAGCCCATCTTTTATGAGCTAAATACAATGGAACATTTTTCTTATCCATCAATGTTCATTTTTAGGTTAAAATCGACACGTTAGACCAGCTAAGCGAGGAAGGCGATTGCAAGGCCAGAGCGCTCCACGCGTCTATTCTGAATGGGACTTCATTATTACTCTTGTTGTGCTTCAGCATATTTTTGAATATACAAACAAGCTGTCGGTATACCTTAAAGTGAGTAATCAAATGATAATATATCTTTAATTTTTACATTTACCACATTACTAAGAATCAAAACCATTTTTGTGTACCCAGAGCCCTGATGTCGACTTGATTCAAGCCTCTGAAGAAGCAAAAACCTGCTACTCTGTTCTGAATGCCAAGCGAAATGACGATTCTGTTTGGGAGGCCTTGATGGAAAAGGCTATTGATCTATCATCGCCAAGAACGGCAGGAAGGCAACAACATCACAAAAACGTTCCAGCGGATACTCCATCAGCATATTAGAAAAGGGCAAGGTATTTGCCATTTCTAGATCACCTCGTTACAGCGATCGATGAAAAGCTCGTGGTGCCACTACCAGGCTTCCAGGCTCAGCTCCTTATCCCAGGTAAATGACATTGCATTGGCTACAAGAATTTTGTGGATCATGTTCATTTGACCACTCAGTGGTTTAGCACATAGATCACAGATTACTGTTCTTGCTTATAGGAAAGCTTGGCCAGTTGACGGGGGAAAAATTGAAGTTGATCCATGCACACCACGGTGGTGACATGGCCATCGATTTGGAAGAGTTCAAACTCGAAGTGAACAGATGCAGGTACCGTTGGTCTATCAGGGAGCCAACCGATCCTCTCCCACAGACGTTAGTAGAAACTCTAGATGTAGCTAATGCGGCATTCTACCCAGGAATCTATGTAGCAGTTAAAACGCTCTTGACTTATCCTGTGTCGGTATGCGCTGCTGAGCGCAGCTTTAGTTCGAAGAAAAGGTTGAAGACGCCACTACGAAACACGATGACCGACCATCGCCTTTCATTTTTAGCAATATTGCACATCCGCAAGGAAAAAGAAATCAATGTTGAGAGTGTGCTCGAACAGTTTGCATAGCACAAAGAAAGACGCCTCGCTTTTTGCTCATAAATGATAACTGTACTAATAAACGAAAAACGCTGCTGAGCGCATTTTTTTTTTTTTTTTTTTGCTGAGCGCATGCTCGAGGATCCACAACCAAAACAATGTTGTGTTTGCGCCAAGTTTACTCAAAATAAGGGCAAGACGCTTTGTTCTTTGCTTGTATTCACACAACTATTTCGAACGAGAAATAAAGAACGCGCAGTATTTTTCGTTCAGTTTACTTAGGTTTCTAGATCATATGTACTTGTGCGTACTTGAAAAAGTGACCACGCTAACCCGCCTGACTGATATTGCTTTGAGGGTCAAATCGTTTCAACGGGACCCATTTCCGCAACCTTGACAAATAGTCTTGAGAAACATTAGCCAAACTTCGCGCAGGGCATCATCTCATTAAGTTCTTTCCTCTCGCCCCTCGCCCCTCGCCCCTCGCCCCTCGCCCCTCGCCCCTCGCCCTCGCCCCTCGCCTCTCGCCCCTCGCCCCTCGCCCCTCGCCCCTCCCCAACCCTTGTACCCTACAACGTGTTGTATTTTTTCTTTGAAAAGAACCATTTTAGTTTCAAATTAAAGTTTTAAGTGACATACATGCAACGACGAATGGATGAAGAGTTTATAAGTTTGTAGTTTTCAAAGGTGTCTGAGGAACTTTTGGTCGAGAACAATGTTATCGATAGGTCGAAATCACTACAGAGGAAGCACACTTGCAGCTGGTTTTATTTGAGCAGTTTATTTTGGCTTACACCGGATTCCATTGACGCTTAAGTGAAAGAATAAGTTTAAATATATCAGTTGTAAGTTGTACATTGACTGACAAAAGATTTAGGTGTGACAATTACCGATAAAAAGTTTTCAATTAGCAGCACAGTAAGTGACAAAACTATTCCTCTAGTAGTGCAATAGCTGATAAAAGAGTGAAGATGTAAACTGTCTTTAATGTACTAGACGAATTCTCTCGAGAATTAGCCTCATAAAGTTGTGCTGGAGAAAGCCAGAAAAAATAGGCAGTGAGATCAAGAAATTCACCCCTTTCCTAAAATAGTTTTAAAAACCTCAAACATTCAGGGAGTATTCTTGGCAAAATAGCAGTTGTTACAATGGAACAGAAACTGGCCAAAACCTTTTGGAATATAATTTGTTTAGATACCTGCCGGGCAAGTCAGAAATATGCTTGTTAGAATAATTGAGACATTTTCTATTGAGTGACGACAGTGATCCGGAATTACTTTGCTTTTGCATTACTTTGCTCTGCAATTGCTCCAGAAAACACCCCTCAACCAATAAGATGCAAAACTAAAACGAATCACGGTCTGGTCCCTCACGTTTTCCCGCGCTTTAGGCGGTTTGGTTGGTTTTACTCCGAGTTCTGATTGGCTCGTAAACTTATTTCCCCTTTTTTTGATGGCCCGTTGTGACAACGACACTCATAGAGTAATAAATATAGTGTGTCTTCTTTGTATTAACTATCACCCGAGGACATGGAGTCGAAGGGTACGAGTAAATTAAGTAATTCTCGTAATGTGTGAGCTGTGAGTCTTCAAGCTTCTTGCCGAATCATCAGAGAAGACTTAAAATGTGAACACTTTCGCCTCTGATGTGAGAAAAAGGAATTTTCGTATCAGACCAGCAGAATGTGTTTTTAGGACCAGCAGAATGTGTTTTTAGGATTACAAGAAATGTAGGTAAAATCAGTGATGAATTAGATTGCCGTTTACATCAAGAGAATATACAGTTTATATTTTCTTGGTTGACATTTACTCCAGAGGTGCATCTGATGATTCAGACATAGCACAAAGCTTCTTTGAAAAAGAAACACCTGCACAAGTTCCGTTTTTCACCAAAGTTAGTTCTTCTTCCTTTTCGCGAGCTGTTTTTTCAACAGACGCTCGTTGTCATATGTCACATTATCCGAGGCACAAACATGTTTCACAGCTTCAGGACATTCCTGAATGCACTCGCATTTTTCTTGGTTTCCCTTGTGCTTCACGCAGCGAGAAAACGGAGAAGAACACTTTTTGTTGCAGCCTGAGAGGTGGGAAGTGCTGGAGCTTGTAAAAAAACTTATATCCTCAACATAAACAAATTAAAATTCTCGCCATCTTTGAAAACTGCGGAGGTTTATGGAATAGATATAGAGAATAACACATAGGAGCGCGTAAATATGGAATTTCTCTTCGAATGTTTGACTCGATAGCTCACGAGTGAGCGCAGCGAAAGAGTGAGATGTCAAGTTAAAGACGAGAAGAGAAATTATATCTCTACAAGCAACCACGTATTATTTTATTTATCATCTATACACAATAGCCCTTTAATGACAAAAAAAATTCGACGTTATTAATGAATGAAAATTAAATGATCAACAATCCTTGAATTGGCGCACTCAAGAAGAAAACAGGCGTTGAATCTACAAAAAAAAAAACAAAAAAAAAACAATGGGCCTAATTTTCAGTAAACAAAATTCTCAATTACTGAATTGGTCCTTACCGACAGGAGAAATGAAATACGAACAAGTAACTTTCCGTTTTTCTTTTCGTATTTTGGTTTTCTTCCCTTCCATGACAGTTTGATCGTCACTGTCTGTAAGCGATGCGGATTTTTCATTTTTTTAGCAGCCATAATCCGAAGATAATCCCACAAATGACCTTGGATTAAGAATGGTGAAGGCTTTGTTCTTCATTCATCAACATGAGTGGCGCGAAAGGCGAGTGACGTTTCAGCAGCTGATTGGCGATATCAAACACACGGGAAAAAGTATTGTTTTTTTTCACGTGTGTTGTTACGAATTTTCTTAGGGCTGGGAAACCTCGTATAGCACCGTAGTTTATATGATAATTTAAGATTAACCTCAAGACTCTTTTAAACAGTTTTCCCTTTAATTAAAGCATATGCATATGTTGTGAGAATTTTTTTGTGTGAGGAGTTATTTAGGCTTTCTTACGAAAGGACTCATGAAATCATGTCTGTAGTATCTGGCAATGGCTATATTTGAGTGTGATGTGAAAGGTTAACTATTAGGAAGTTGAACGTAAAATTCTCTAAGAGTCACCTTGATTCTTCCTTCGTGACCATCGATTAATATCCAGTCAGTACCATTCAAGCTGTAACGAGCATGATATCTGCTGACCCAAAACTTTTCTGTGACGGCGCCTTGGGTAGAAAACCCTGACAGAATATGGACTGACAGCAAATCCACTTGTAGATATTGTGTTCCCATGTCAAGAGTTGGAGCACTGCACCAGGAGCTGGAGGCAAGACAGCAACAGCTATTACTTTCCATGATATTTGATTCGCTGCAAAATGCTTTTGATCCCCGATTAGCCAGGCCCGGTATTAACCTGAACCAATATCAATATCTCATGAAATTCGCTAATACTTTTTTTGCGATCTTACCTTCGCAAGCTTGAATCCCACTCGAGCCAAAAGACTCGAACCCTAAAAGGGGACTAACCTTAACCTTATGTCACACCTGTCTTGAGGAAAGCTGCTCAGGGAAACCCTTCCCTGTTTAGCGGCTTGCTGTTTCTCAAGTTCTGAGGATGCCGAGATCTGCTTGTCTCTTATTTGTCCATTTTCCAATCCCAGTGATGATGTGCAAGCTTCTAAGGAGTAAATAAGATCGAACTTAGTTGTTATGAAGTGTAAGGTGACGTAAAAAAAAAGAAGGACAGTTCGCATCTCATCGTGTGATCCGGCGTGGGTGACACCCCTTCTCAAGTCCTTGATGAGGTCTAAATCTAGGATTGGTCAAAACAGGGAGGATCGGCTTCGGGAGTAATAAGTGAAGTTATCAGTGGGAACAGGAGAAATCTCCTTCAAGCATCTGTAGGACCGGAGGTGGATAGCCTGTCACAGCGCCGGTGTTCCTCGGCTAAGGTTACATTGGACATGCAATTTCTGGCCGAGCTGAATGATTAATTTGCCGAATTGTGTTGGGACAGTGCGTATAAACAGCCTACACCTGCCCAAGTTGAGAGTGGAGTTCAAGTTCCTGAGGTTTCAGAAAGACAGGTATGGAACTGTTTGCAGCACCTGAAGAACACCGCCACTGGACCGGACCTCATACGGTTCCGGGTGTGGAGAGACCACGCGGAAACTTTTACAACTTTAATTTGCAAGATCTGGAACTTGTCCCTGAGGTTCAGTACCTGGCCCTCATCGTGGAAGAGAGCCCACGTGACCTCCCTCCCCAAGGTTGACGTTCCCAAGGGAAAGATAGACTACAGGGTAATCAACATCACTCCTGTAATTGCACGCGCAATTGAGAAGTCCGTGTATAACATTCACGCGCGGGATACGGTTTAGCAACATCTGAGCTCAACTCAGTTTGCCTACAGGACAGGGGAGAGCTGTATTGACGCGCTCCTCAGTATGCAGCACACTGTCTTTAGTTATCTAGATGACCCTAAGTGTAAAGCCATGCGTTTGTTTGCCATGGATTTCAGTAAAGCGTTCGACATCGTTTATCATGAACTTTTGTCTTATAAGGTTAAGGATATACCGTTAAATCCATTCATAATCAATTGATATTGAAGCTTTTTTGAGAATCGTCAACAGTGCATTATTTATAACAGTTTTCAAGGACAATGGAAATGTTTCAACAGGGGCACTACACAGGGCAATGTGAGTGGTCCGTACTTATTTAGCATTTTTATTTATGATCTGGAAATCAGCATAGATAATCACCCAGTCCTGTTTAAATACGCGGACGACTCTACTCTCATTGTTCCCGTTTGGAGTAATGGCCAATGTCGTACGGATTTGGTGGACCAGTTTTTAATTTAGCCTAAGGATAATAGATGATTTGTAATTCGTCGAAATGTAAAGAAATTATTTTTCGCAAGAAAGGTTTTATTCAGGATATCGCGCAAGTTAATAACATTCCGCAATGCGCGAAGCTGGCTATTTTAGGTGTTACGTTTCAGGAGAATTATAAATATAGCGAACACGTACGTGCTAAGTTAATTGAGGAAAGTAAGTGTCTGTTTGGAATGAAGGAAGGTTTCATTCAAGGTGAAGTAGACCACCTACTTAGCTCCTTAGTTTTACCAAATTTCACTTATGGTCTACCTGTTTATGGCGCTATAGACTCAGATCTCACGGTCATACAAAACTTTATGGACAAATGCTTTAAAAGGAAATACTAATGTAAGAGAATGGGGCAGTCGAGAACTTTTAGAAAAGGCAGATAAGAAGATTTTCAAGATACGTTCAATGGATCCCGATTGTCCGCTTAGTAACATCAATCCGAAGAAGAAAGAAACAAAGTACCAACTCATAAACAAAAGTGCTCATCGCCCGGATATAAAGACTGACAGATTTAAGAATGTTTTTGTAAATAGGCTTATCTTTAAATATAATCTTTGATCTTTCTATTATTTTATATAGTATGTCTTGAATATATATACAGTATGTCTTATGTATTTTTAGACTCCTAACAGTTGATGTAACTTAAAATATGTCTTTTTATCTTAGGAGGAATAAAGATTGATTGATTGATTGATTGAAACTGGAAACCTCAGAATCTGATAGTGGAAACTGACGAAACTCTCAACGCAGTTGAACTGAAAAAGGCTGGGAATACAATTTCTCTCTCAAATTCTAATTCGTTTACTGAAAGTGTTGGAATCGGAAAGGCAAACTGCCGAAAATTACTCTTAAAAAACTCTTAAAGTTTTCAAAGGTGTCTGGGGGAACTTTTGGTCCAGAACAATGTTATCGATAGGTCGAAATCACTACAGAGGAAGCACACTTGCGGCTGGTTTTATTTAAGCAGTTTATTTTGGCTTACACCGGATTGCAATGACACTTAAGTAAAAAAACAAGTTTAAATATATCAGTTGCAAATTGTACATTGACTAACAAAAGATTTAGGTATGACAATTACTGATAAAAGTTTTCAATTAGCAGCACAGAAAGTGACAAAAGTATTCCTGAGAAAAAGGTGAAGATGTAAACTGTCTTCATTGTACCAGACGACTTCTCTTGAGAATCAACGTCATAAAATGGTACTGAAGAAAGAAAGAAAAAAAAAGGCAGTGAGAACAATAGATTCATCCCTTTCCTAAAATATTTTTGAGAAATCTCAATCATTCAGGGAGTATTCTTGGCGAAATAGCAGTTGCTAAAATGGAACAGAAACTGGCCAAAACCTTTTGGAAAATAATTTGTTTAGATACCTGCCCGGGCAAGTCAGAAATATGCTTGTTAGCATGATTAAAGCATTTTTTATTGAGTGACAATAATGATCCGAAATTGCTTCGGTTTTTCATCGCTTCGTTCTGCGACTGGTCCAGAAAACGCCACTCCCTCAACCAATCAGATGCAAAACTGCAACGAATCACGATTTGGTCCCTCACGTTTTCCCGCGCTTTAAGCCGTTTGGTTGGTTTTACTCCGAGTTCTGATTGGCTCTTAAACTTATTTTACCTTCTGATTGCCCGATGTAACAACGACACTCATAGAGTGATAAATGACCTTCACATTAACTATGTAAAAAAAATCAAATGCGCTTGTTTTTCTAAGAAGCACGTTTCTTGAATTCACAAAGACAATTGTTCTTTAATCTGATCCACAAACTTTACGGAATCAATACCTTTATTGAACCAAAAATATCAATAAAATGTTGTGTGTTCTTGGTACTTTCACTCAGGGACATGGGAATGAGTAAATTAAGTAATTCTCGTGATGGGCAGGCTGTGAGTCTGCCGAACCATCAGAATACTTGCGACGTGAACACTTTTGCATCTGATGTGAGAAAAGAGAATTTACGTATCAGACCAGCTGAGTGTGTTTTTAGGATTACAAGTAAAGTTGGTAAAATCAGTGATGAATTAGATTTGCCGTTTACATCAAGAGAATATACAGTTTATATTTTCTTGGTTCACATTTACTCCAGAAGTGCATCTGATGATTCACACATAGCACAAAGCTTCTTTGAAAAAGAAATACCTGCACAAGTTCCGTTTTTCACCAAAGTTAGTTCTTCTTCCTTTTCGCAAGCTGTTTTTTTCAACAGACACTCGTTGTCATATGTCACATTATCCGAGGCACAAACTTGTTTCACAGCTTTAGGACATTCCTGAATGCACTCGCATTTTTCTTCGTTTCCTTTGTGCTTCACGCAGCGAGAAAACGGAGAAGAACACTTTTTGTTGCAGCCTAAGAGGTGACAATGTAGTAGAAGCTTTTAAACTTAGAACATCTGGGAAATGCCGGAGCTTGTAAAAAACCTATATCCTCAACACAAGCAAATTCTCGCCATCTTTGAAAACTGCAGAGGTTTATGGAACAGATATAGAGAATAACACATAGGCGCGCGTAAATATGGAATTTCTCGTCGAATGTTAAACTCGACAGCTCACGAGTGAGCGCAGCAGGAACTGCTGGAGCTAGTAAAAATGTAAATCGTCAACACAAGCAAATTCAAATTCTCGCCATCTTTGAAAACAAGAAAGGTTTATGGAAAAGATAAAGTCTTATTCTCGGCCGGAGAGAATTGGCCAGTGTTGCTACTTTGAGGAGACAGGTGCTCCAGAACACACATACTTTCCATCACCGTCTAAAACAATGGCACTGACTTCGTTTAAGATTCCAAATGGTAATCTGATCTGTCAAAAACATTATATTAGCAGTTTATCCACACAGTTTTTAACAAATCTTACCTTTATCCGTGTATAAGTGTGACCCTTTGCAACCGTAAAGCTCCACACGCATGCACCGCTGACCGAAAAAAGAGGTAGGAGAGAAACGAACAAAACGAGCATCGACACGAGGCTTCAGCCAGTGATGGACGATAGAGGACTGGTTCGTATTTCCCTGAAATTGCTTTTAAATTTAAAAAAGAACTTCAGTTGGTCAATGTCGCACATTGATGATCTGACGTTTAAATAAATGGGTTTTTCTTCATCCTTTTCTCCATTTTTTGATGAGGATTTTCTTTGATGAATCAATTAACTACTTGTAGTCAGTTGAATGTCTCCTATACGCCAACCTTTTCTTTTTCATCCTTAGTAGGAAGAATGAACAAATTCGTGCAAAAAATGAGAGCTGTTTTCACAGAGAAGTCTTGACAAGGCTTAAAAATCACTGAAGAACCAAAGATTAACCTCAAGACTCTAGTAAACAGTTTTCCCTTCAATTTAAGCATGTGGATGTTTGTAAGCATTATTTTGGGGGGAGTTATTTAGGCTTTCTCACGAAAGGACTCATGAAATCGTGTCTGTAGTAGGTGGCAATGGCTATATTTGAGTGCGATGTGAAAGGTTAACTATTAGTTAGTTAAACATAAAATTCTCTAAGAGTCACCTTGCTTCTTCCTTTGTGACTTTCTTCTTTTTCGTAAAACCCGATTAATATCCAGTCAGTACCATCCAAGCTGTAACGAACCAGATATCTGCTCACCCAAAACTTTTCTGTGACGGCGCCTTGGGTAGAAAACCCTGACAGAACATGGACTGACAGCAAATCCACTTGTAGATATTGTGTTCCCATGTCAAGAGTTGGAGCACTGCACCAGGAGCTGCAGGCAAGACAGCAACAGATATTTCTTTCCGTGATATTGGATTCGCTACAAAATGCTTTCGATTCCCGATTAGCCAAGTCCGGTATTAACCCGAACCAATATTAATATCTCATGAAATTCATTAATACATTTTTTGCGATCTTACCTTCGCAAGCTTGAACCCCGTAGGAAAAATCTATTTTCCCAAGATTTCTCGGTATTTCTTAAGTAACATTTAATTACAGTGTATTAATACAAAAAGAGGACCAACCTCAACCCTATGTCATACCTGTCTTGAGGAGAGCTGATCAGGGAAACCCTTCCCTGTTTGGCGGCGTGGTGCTTGTCGAGTTCTGAAGATGCCGAGATCTGCTTGTCTCTTATTTGTCCATTTTCCAATCCCAGTGAAGACATACAAGCTTCTAAGGAGTAAATAAGATCGAACTCAGTTGTTATACAGTGTAAGGTGACGTAAGAAAGGAGGACATAATTTTTAAACAAGGGGGTCCTGCGCTAGCGGCTTAGAACGGGGCTAGGGAGTGATCATATGCCTATGGTCTTTTAATGAAAATCGCTCAATTTAAAATGTCAGAAGGTTGAAGGAGGGGGAGGGGGCGCGTAGGGGGGAGCGGAGGTCAAATTATAATAACCCTCTTAGTTAGCGGTTTTATGGGATCTATGAGGAAAAGCTGCGAGGCTGCGAGTGGAATGGGAAAAAGAATTCTGAGACAATTGAGAAAGAGGTATATAAATAATAGAAGCGGCACAGTCGCTGCTAATGATATCGAGCATCTACATAGCACAAGCTACACAACATTTGTCGTTTGTCGTGGCGGCCGGAACAGGGAGTTTAGCAATCTTTAAAGTATGAAGGCCATGAAATAATGTCTTGCTCATTGGGTTTCTTTTCCTCTCTTCTCTATTAGAATAAGCATTGAGTCTTAATTCAATGTATGGATGTTAGCTTTTTTTCGAATTTGTCTTATTCGCTGTAAATTAGCGTCACTTTTTTTCACCTTTAAATGTCTTGAGAATTATAACTCAAGTTGTTCCTTTCGTGTCTGCTGTAGGCCGCCTTGAGTATGCCACGCCAAACAGTTTGGGTACATACCTGTACAGGATTCTTTTTTCACAATCTCTATTCCAGTGAATTTTTCGCAGGCTGCTTTCTTCAACAGGCATTCGTTGTTATATGTCACATTATCTGAGCCACAAACTTCTTTCATCACTTTAGGACATTCCTGAATGCATTCGCATTCCTCTTCGCTTCTGTTGTTGTTCACGCAGCGAGAGAAAGGAGCATGACACCTTTTCTTGCACTCCAGAAATGCTGGAAACATTGAGAGAGTGAAAAATATAGTGTCGAGCCTGTCCTTACGGATACTCTTGTCATACGGACACCTATCAATCTCGGGAAATTTCTGGTGTCCTTAAGGATTCAACATTTTTTCTTCAAAAAGAAAAAAACTGTAAAAAGAGGACAACAGGCACTAAATCTCGATCCCAGAAAACAAAACCTATCTAGACTCAATCTCTTAATCACGGACAATCCGGTTATAACCAGATTATGTTTTATGTAGGTGATAGAATTGTTGCACAAACATCAATTGACGAAGTTGTGCACAGTTTGCTCAAGAATTTTATTAAACTTGGACCGAGCAAGGGAAGGGAAGGGATCGAGGACAGCTTTGGTTGAAATATATCTTGGACTCAATTCCTCGCTCCAAACTTAACAAACTTTCTGAGACCAGTATTCGGTTCGGTAAAACTTCTTGCTTATCCTGATGCACACATTTACAAATGTTTAGCTTTGCGGTAAGGAACGGAAGAAACCAATATTACGGCTACTCGAAAAGACTTCAAGGGTGAACGTTTGAAACTAACGGTTCTGACAGAACCTGGAAATATTGAGGCAAAACTTGCAAGTCATTCTGAAAATGTTTTCTTTTGTGACAGCGTTATACTTATTTCTAGACCATAAACAGTCACGTCAAGTGCAAAATTTGTAGTTGAAAGTTCAGCCGGAGATACGTACCTTTCAATGGTGTTATAACTTATTTGTGAATTTGACACTTTTGTTCCCAAGATGACATTGACTAATATTTGTTTTACTTTATTTCTAATACACGGGAGAAGTGTTTTCTTCCGGCCAAAAGTAAATTCAGGATAGGAACACTTACGCGAATCATTTTCCCCAACTGGTGATTCAGTATATATAAACAGGAGCCGCCATTAAGCGAGCGCGAGAACTGATATGCATTTGATGTTTGTCTGCGAAAATTATCTGTTCCTAGATGCAAAAAGTTTTCCATGAGCGAAGCTCGACGATAACTGTAAGAGATACTGTTTCGGAAAAACATACAAGCATATTTTTCACCAAATGGGTGCTATTGAGTTTATTATCCTTCAAACATTTTGCAACGCTCGGAAAAAAACTATTTACGAACGCTTAGCGTTTGTTGCGCGGATCTTTACTTTCAGTGTTCTCTGGTACGACTTTCTGAACATATCCCTCGTTTTGTAACAACAGCTTGACGCTTTCTAATCTTGAAACAAATTAAAAACAAAGGCTTTCATCATAGTGGATGAAAAGTTGGTAACTGGGGAATATCACTTGGAGTATATCATTGGATATTTGACAGTTTTAGCTACCGCATATCTGGTCACGTGTGGCGTTTAGACTAATCGCGCGCTAGCAGCAATGTTTGCTGGGTTAATAGCTGACAACCAGAGTTGACTGAACCAATCAGAACACTAGAAATGCAATGCAATATTCGGTCTTTGTAATTGTATTAAATAAGGTGTTAATCATTAGCAGTAACAGTTACCAAAGCAACTGAAGGCTTAAATTTGTCATTATCCGAAATCTACTCGATATACCCCCTGAGATCGGGTATTCAGAAGCTCTGAGGTTCTAATGAGTGTGAAATCATAAGATCTTTCGTATACCTTTTTTACTACACCAACAAGTTATGGTCAATAGCCACAAATGCATTTACCAGCCTGGCATGTCATTTACCTCGACATCCTTTCCAGCAGTCTTATTCAGACAAAAAGTTGTTGAGGTTTCCATTGCATCCACTATAACTGAACGATTCACATTGTTTAGTTTTCCTGTTAAAAAACCATCTGGGAAATGAAGCCTTACAATTACCAGGCTGTTTGGTCAGATTACAGCGAATGAATTCTGCAAAAAACGACGTGCAAAATTTTAATGGTCAATTAAATTTTACCATCATCGAGACACACGAGAATGAAAAGGGGTAGAGAAAATCTTGAAAGTCTTTGATATACTTTTGACTTCACAGTTTTAATAAGTCTTACCTTCTCGCTGCCTTTGCTTCGATGAAAACGGTGTCAACATGGATATGTCGCCAGCGCGGCATCCATATATCTCGACACTCATACACATCCGACCAACAGAAGATGTAGGGTATAAAATAACATATGTAGCATACAATTGATGCTTCAGCCAGTGACGAACGATAGAGGACTGGTCCGAGTTTCCCCTAAACTCCTGAAAAAAAAAGCTTAAAATAAAATGTTTGAAATTTTTCGCGGGGAATTTGCGCGCGGCTGGTCAAAGTTGATCCTTTTGTGCATGCTCAACAGTTGACCGCTGAGCTTTCTAGCTCCGTCAAAACTTACGCTCGACGGCATATTTGGGTTTACATATAATGACTGTTAAATTATTCCAGCAAATTGGGATTCTAGATCATAACCTAAACAACACCGAAAAGCTGGCCAACGTCAGAGAACGCGGTGAAAAACCTTAGTTTGTGTTTGTAATTACGAAGGTAAGAAAAAAACGCCTAACGGTTCATACTGATCTACTTTCTCATCTTTAAATCTACATCCGGATTCAAAACGTTTTGTAGGAATCGATTTGGGAGTTAGCAGGAGAGCAGGTTGATTAAAAACCAAATCAGCTCTTACAAAACAAGCTATCAGTAAATACCTCCCAGGCTTTTTGGATGATCTGGGTGAAGCAGTGTCGATTAGCCATGCATGTTGGGCAGTGTGGTTCTTGTCCTTTTCCAACGATGACCACAAAATAGGAAACCAGTCATCATTACGAAGAAAGACATGTAACGACATTGGACAAGCTGAAAGCAAATGAACGAATACGAACTCTGTTCAGTGCTATACGATGTTGAGCGAAACACAACGTGATAGTTAAGAATTACTGAGTGGGAAAGATATACGTGAAAATATTTGGCTGGCGGTTATGACGTTTGAACTTCGCTTCGGTCAGTCCAAACGTCATGACCTCGGGCGATATATTTTCCCGTTCAGCCCTACCTAACTCAGTCGATGTGGATTCAGTTTCCATATGATCATCCTTATTTCTTCGTTTTCCCATCTTAGATTTTACCCATCTACCAACTGACTAGCTGGTTCCTATAGCTTTGCGCACATTTCCAAAGAGCCATTGATAATATATGGGTGATACAACTCACAGTTGCAATCATCGAAAGACATGTTAGGTTTGTTACAACAACAAAATGTTCTGGCAATCTTTCTTGTAAAGCTGTGCGCTAAGTCCTGTGATTTTTTCCGGCCCTGCTCACGCAATCACGGCCCTCAAACGGGGACTTTTCTTATGATGTTGTGCAACAAAAGCGACCATTGTGCCATACAGTTCATGTGATAAAGTTACAATTATTTTAAATCGCAGGTCATAAACGTGCTTCAGACACCTAAAATTGCGCAGGTGAATGCATTTGGCATTGCTCTTTACCTAACTGTCATCAGGTAGATATATGTGTAAAAAACGGTTAGACATACCTTCTTTAACACATTCAGTTCCATTTGACAAGATAACTGGATCGCAGAAGTGAAGATAAAGCCGCGCTGCGTAGGTCCTTATCTGAGAGCAACCTTTAACTAGTCTGTGTGATTTATCCCTTTTACTTGCTATGCCTGAAAGTTATATAAAAGGGTAATGCAAAAAAGTTCTGAAAATATTTCAAGTGCAACTGAGTGCCGCGCAACACAAAAACGCAGAGGAAAATGACTCGTTTTTTTGTCCTCCATGTAGATCTAAGTGGTTGGGCGCCCTGGTAAGAATTAAATTTAACCGAGCGTTAAAATTTTGACTGATAAGATTCACATGGTCGAACGAGAGCGAAAGGGGTCCAGGTTAATTGCGTAACATAGAAGAAAACTCAAATCCAATGAAATTTTAAAACATGGTAAATCAGCTGCCAGATTTGTGCAAGATATGGCAGCCAAATGGCAGCCAAACGGCTACGCGAAAATCGACTTAGAGACAAAAATCGCTTACGCGGCGCAACAAATTAGCTCCATTCTTTGAAGTTTGTTTATTGACATTTGACCATTTTTCTTCATTTTTGAGGTATTTTGATCGAGAATGGAGCAAAAAGGAGGAAAAAAACCACCTTGATTATTTTAGAGTACGGTCCGACGGAAAATGTAAATAATCGATTATTAGGATTGTTGTCATCGTCGATTTTAAGAGTTTTACAGCCCTCTTCCTTCTACTTGAGTTATCTTGTTTACATTTTCTGTTTGTTTTTGAGGTCTAAAAGGATGTGTAGTGATCAAGGATGGAACGAAAAGAAGGAAAAACCAGCTAAATCATTTTAGCCCACGGCTCGACGATAGACGCCATTTTAGATTATGTTGATAACTCCATGTAACCGGCCTTTGTACCACCCACCAGACATTTCAACAGAAAACAATAGCGTGACTTTGAGGACAGAAGTAAACCTAGTTGGGAAGGCGGGAGATAAGGCCTCTGAACCACTAACGCCTGGGTGGACGACGCAGATATTTGGCGACCAAAAGAGAAAAAAAGGAACGGCTTGCATTTTAAGACTCAGGTGTTCTTACGGAAGCTGGAGTAAAAATTCTGACGTGGCAACGTGGAATTAAAAGAATATGATTGGCTCTTAAAATCAGATGATCACAAAGTCATAGTATGACACCAAACGCTTCAAAGCCTTCGAACTTTGCATGAAAAAAAATATATTTTTGAAGAATAATTTGTATAATTAACACAATGCTGGTTTAGTTGTTCTATTTTACGCTTACCAAGAATTTGATAAGTTTCCACATCTTTTATCAAAAGTTCCGAAGTTTTGAAACTCTTTGTGTGACCGCATGTTAGAGTCCCAAGCCAGTATCCCTGCCTAGCAACGCAATGATCCAATTCCTTGAGGCTCACAGAGAAGAGATCTACTTCTCCGGTAAAGAGTTTTGGCAAAGACTTTTCGCACTTGAATGAAATAGTGGGTTTCATTTCAGGCAATAAAGCTGTTATTGGCTTTCCAAGCCTTCTGCAAGAGAAAGTGACAATAAATGCCATTGAACGACATGCTATTTATCCCAACTGAACTTCGCAGTTATTTGGCGATGGCTTGTTGGATATGAATGAAGGAAAGTTTGTCAGCTAGATGCTTATAATAACCTGACATAGAACGAATACCAAGAAAAATTGATGCTACTAAGTGCAGTTGTTTTTACCACACCTGTAAAGAGTGCTTTTTAGCCAAGCTGATTGGTTAAATTCGAGGTTTTCATCATAGTAATTGAACCTCCTCATTTAATGAATTCCGGTTTTAGTCATGATGTAAGGAGTCATCTACCAGTGAGGCTCAGCTAATCAAAACTGATCCCGGATTGCATTGTCCAGTCATCTAAAGGTTTAAATAATGCCAATGGTAATAATAATTACAATATACCACACAGGTATAAGTAACAAGAAAGTACTATCTACCTCCGAGCCACCGAAGAGACAAAATCGTGCGTCAACTATTTAATGTCTGTCCGATTTTAACTTGTTGATAGCAAAGAAACAAGTTTTTATGATGACTCCGATATGCAAACAAGTCACTCAATCAGGTGTACACACTGTGGTAGTTACTCGTCTCGAACTCGCCCGAGCGTGACACCATCATCTTGGATGATGGCGGACTTTTTGTTTTTTTGTCGTGTTCGATTGATATGCAATATTAAGATCGTGCTTGCAACTTTGCACGATATAACACGGTGACCGTGCCAATTTTATAACACGCCTCGTAGCTCGTAAGATACCAAGATCGGCGTACAGTAAATAATACGCGGCTTCGCTCGGAAAGCTTCGTTTTGCACCGGCTAACTAGAGGTTATTTATATTTATTTATATTTAGTTTAAAAATGCCGGTTTGCATAGTGACGAACTGAGACTGCGTAAGAGACATGGAGCTGGAAATCTAGAAACGAGCTAGGAATATTCCACAATAGTGCAAATAATCGTGAAGACTGATTGCGAAAAAGCAATTCGGTGACGCTCGGTGAGTTGTAAGATGACATGTTATCACATACCGGACGAGAAAACACTTTAAATTCTCAGTCTGCATTTAGTACCTAGTCTACATTTTGTATCCAGTCTGCACTCTGCAGTCTACATTTTGTACTAAAAGGTATCCGTGGCACCAATACAGTTTATTTTTGGTTACAGTTATTCCCACAACATACACAATCGACCACAAAATACCTGTGCGTGAGTAATTTCGACATTTTCGTTCTTTTCCGCGTTAATACACTTTACTTTTGTAAAAATGTAGACATCACTTGCAATGTTTCAATTAATCCACCCCAAAAAATAACTCTTGCATGCATAGAATGCCTATATTTATTGGAAGCTAATAAAACGCTCTTGTACTTAGGATTTGACGTGCTTCAATTATAAATGGCCGTTCTGCTTAAATTGAAATATTTTCCACTTCTATTTGAACCAAGAGATGCAATAAACATCTCTAAATTTTTTTTTAATCCGAAAACTTACATAAAAAGAACGGTTCAAGTATACGAAGGTTTTCTGCAAGGAACTGTGATACAACGTTGTGCAAGTATCTCTTTTGTCGAGAGTTTTCTTCAAGTGTCCGAAATCTACAAGGCACAATGCAACGTGTTTCTTCTTAGAATGTGCGAACGGCTAACTTTGTTCAATGTCCGTAGTAATTGAATGCATGAATAAATGAATTTTATCAATGCGATCGAAAACAACACGAGGATCTTTTCAACGAGTAGTATCCTATTTATTGGTGTTTCGCGGCGTTTTAATGGAAACTTCCAGGTGGACTGAACAAGATTAAAGACATTGTTGGAAATGGAGCCGATGTTTGTAGACGCGAAGAAAGAAGGATGAGGCGTCGTTTTGGAGCCGAACCTACCTTGCAAGGCTTTTGAAGCAAGACGAGCGGCAAATAGAGAAAGACGAGCAAGATGAACAGAACTGGAGCATGCTTTTTTAAAAGCTTGAAATACTGTCTGTGTCGTTCTCGCCGACAATTTTGCATGGGGACCTCTTTATGATTTTGCTTGTCTAGAGTAGCATCTATCTGCTGTTCGCAAACCCTTCAAACATTTTCCACTCGTATTCCGTCTTTTTCTTTTTTTCTTTTTGTGTTTGACGATCTTTCGGCGGCGATGAAATCATCTAGTTCTGGAGTGGAGTTATCTTCGTTGTGTTCGTCTTCTCCATTCGTCGCTTGTTTTCCTCCAAAATCTCGAAGGAACCAACATTTTCCACCAAAATTTTCTTCCAGAGACATTTTGGCCATCAAAACAAACTTTTGAGTTGAGCGGGCTGGACAATGAAATAGACCAATCATAGCGCATGTGCTAACTGAGAGATAAATAATAGGTATCTATTTTTGTAGACCGCCTGAGGTATACGTTTATTATTCTGCGGAGTTATCGTTATTCTGAATTTCGAAATGTTTATCCACCGTACTCTAAACTAGCATAGCGCCGAAAAGATAACAGAAAATAGTGGATACTTTTGTCAAGTTCGTGAACTCAGAATAAAACCTACCTGGCGTCCATAAACCTCAATGTGACATCCGAGGCCATCACTTTCGCAAAAGTTAAAAAACCGGCCAGGAGAAGAAAGCGACTGAGCCGTGGCTCGCTCATTTTACTTCTACAAAAACAAGGAAAACATTTCCTGTGTTTTTTGATGGTCCATGCTAATGACGCGACAAAGGTAATTAATTAAATCATCGAATATTAGTCAGTACGCGCGCTACTAATTAAAAGACGCTCATTTAGCATTTTCACGAAAATAACTAATTGAAATAAAACAAAAGATAACAGTATCTCAGTCTACATCTTTTTGTTTGTATAAAAGACTCAAGCAGCCATCTTGTTCCCTTTTGCGAATATTTAATTTCGTTCGATACAATAATTGCTTTTATTTTCTTTATAACTGTACAGCATTCTTACATACGGTTTGCGAGTTATCAAGAGAGAACACGAAAGATCCCTATTTTCCTCGTCGCAAAACATTAAGTCATGGAATAGAGCTTCGCTAAGATCGGTATTTTAGCGAGCGGAGACTTTCGAATCTGTCGTCATTTGGCAATTTTTCCCATAATGTTTTCTTTTCGGTTGACCTCTTTTTCAGGCGTAGAAGGCCTGAGTATTACGGGTGTAACTTCTGGAGCCTCAGATTCCATCACATAAAAACAGTATTGTGTTAAACTGTTTTTAACACACCTTTTCAGAGGACAATCGTGCGATCGTATCGAGCCGCCATGTTTGTTTTGCATGTTGACACTTTTAAAGTTCGTGTTATGTTCGCACCCAGATCTCGCACGGTCCAAAAACCCTATGGCACCGTCATTACGATCCTGTTGGGCACAATAGATATTTTCGAGGAGTACTCTGCAGGATTTTCAAATTAAAAATTAACATGGATCGAAAACAGCATTCATCTGACATGAATGTGAAACCGAATAGGGTTTCAACGAGGAAATTATCAACTGAGTTGCTAAACTAACTCGCCCTTCCATTGGTTTCGCTCTACTTCGCTCTTTGAAACTCTCATCATCCTCTCTACCAATGAGAGTAGAAAGAAAACTCATGGCCAGTTTGTGATGTTTTCCTTTGCTATGATTGGCTGTTGTGGTTACTGTGGACTTGATTTGAAAAGTGTTCTGAAACTTTTTGAAATTTGGGCACAACTTGTATTTTAATTCTTCGAAATTTAGAGGTGTACCCCTACTTTTTAATCACTTTTCTAGTTCTCTTATCGCTTACGTACATCTATGTTCTAAGTGGAGCAATTTCGTTACAGGCCATGTGGATTGATTACGAGACAAAGTCTTGTTTTATTCGCACATCATGCGCGTTGATTTAATCAAGAAATGAAATACCAGCCATCCCAACAGTGTCATTTCTTGTTTGTTATTGTTATAAGCACCTAGCCAGTTATAAATCAGACCTGTTGCATAGAATAAGTGCTTTCATGTAAAATTTTTCCCGCTGAGAAACTTGACTGGTAAATACTTGTAAACAAACTAGGATGTGTTTTTAGGGAGAAAAGACAGGATTCGTGGTAAAAATTCTGGACCCATCAACCTCGTGTTTTTAGCCATCAATTTGCGCCTATAACTTTTTAGGTAATATGGCTGCATGTTATGAAAAAAGAAATAGAAATTAACATTTTTGAAAGTTTAGGTATTTTCAAATAATACACTCGTAGTCTACAAAAAGTCTTGAGAAACATTAGCGAAAGTTCGCGCAAGGCATCTTCACATTTAGTTCTTTCCGCTCGCCCCTCGCCCCTCCCCAACCACTGTACCCTACAACGTGTAGAATTTTTCTTCGAAAAGAACCGTTTTAGTTTCAAATTAAAGTTTGAAACGACATACATGCAACGACGAATGAATTAAGACTTTATAAGCTTGTAGTCTTCAAAGGTGTCTGAGGAACTTCTGGTCGAGAACAATGTTATCGATAGGTCGAAATCGCTATAGAGGAAGCACACTTGCGGCTGGTTTTATTTAAGCAGTTTATTTTGGCTTACACCGGATTCCATTGACACTTAAGTAAAAGAACAAGTTTAAATATATCGCTTGTAAGAAAAAAGGTTTAGGTACGACAATTACTGATAAAAAGTATTCAATTAGCAGCACAGTAAGTGGCAAAAGTGTTCCTCTAGTAGTGCAATAACTGATAAAAGAGTGAAGATGTAAACTGTCTTCAATGTACTAGACAAATTCTCTTGAGAATTAACCTCATAAAGTGGTGCTGAAGAAAGAAAGAAAAAATAGGCAGTGAGATCAAGAAATTCATCCCTTTCCTAAAGTAGTTTTAAAAACCTCGAACATTCAGGGAGTATTCTTGGCGAAATAGCAGTTGCTAAAATGGAACAGAAACTGGCCAAAACCTTTTGGAATATTATTTGTTCAGATACCTGCCAGGCAAGTTAGAAATATGCTTGTTAGAATAATTGAGACATTTTCTATTGAGTGACGGTAGTAATCCGGAATAACTTGGGTTTTGCATTACTTTGCTCTGCGATTGGTCCAGAAACCGCCACTCTCTCAACCAATCAGACGCAAAGCTAAAACGCATCTTGGTTTGGTCCCTCACGTTTTCCCGCGCGTTAGGCCGTTTGGTTGGTTTTACTCCGAGTTCTGATTGGCTCGTAAACTATTTCCCCTTTTTCTGATTGCCCGTTGTGACAACGACACTCATAGAGTAATAAATATAGTGTGTCCTCTTTGTATCAACAATCACCCGAGGACATGGAGTCGAAGGGTACGAGTGAATTAAGTAATTCTCGTTATGTGTGAGCTGTGAGTCTTCAAGCTTCTTGCCGAATCATCAGAGAAGACTAAAAATGTGAACACTTTTGCATCTGGTGTGAGAAAAAGGAATTTTCGTATCAGACCAATAGAATGTGTTTTTAGGATTACAAGAAAAGTAGATAAAATCAGTTATGAATTAGATTACCGTTTACATCAAGAAAATATACAGTTTTTATTTTTTTTGGTTCACATTTACTCCAGAGGTGCATCTGATGATTCAGACATAGCACAAAGCTTCTTTGAAAAAGAAATACCTCCACAAGCTCTGTTTTTCACCAAAGTTAGTTCTTCTTCCTTTTCGCAAGCTGATTTGTTCAACAGACACTCGTTGTCATATGTCATATTATCCGAGGCACAAACTTGTTTCACAGCTTTAGGACATTCCTGAATGCACTCGCATTTTTCTTCGTTTCCCTTGTGCTTCACGCAGCGAGAAAACGGAGAACACTTTTTGTTGCAGCCTAAGAGGTGACAATGTAATTGAAACTTTTAAACTTAGAACATCTGGGAACTGCTGGAGCTTGTAAAAAAACTTATATCCGGAACACAAGCAAATTCAAATTTTCGCCATCTTTGAAAACTGCAGAAGTTTATGGAACAGATATAGAGAATAATAGACAGACGCGCGTAGATATGGAATTTCTCTTCGAATGTTTATTTTGAAATTTCATCTCCACAAGCAACCGTGTATTATTTTATTTATCATCTATACACAATAGCCCTTTATTGACCAAAAAAGTCGACTTTATTAATGAATGAAAATAAAAGGATCGACAATCCTTGAATTGGTGCATTAAAGAAGAAAACAGGCGTTGAATCTCCAAAAAAAAAAAATGGGTCTAATTTTCAGTATACAAAATTCTCAGTTACTGAATTGGTCCTTACCGACAGGAGAAATCTTTCAGGTACACGGCCAAAATAAGCCTGTAGCAAATCTTTCAATTGTCGATTTTCGTTCTGAGCCACGAGAATGGCCATGAAATACGAACAAGTAACTTTCGGTTTTTCTTTTCGTATTTTGGTTTTCTTCCTCTTCTATGAAAGTTTGAACGTCACTGTCTGTAAGCGATACGGATTTTTCATTTTTTTAGCAGCCATAATCCGAAAATAATCCGACAAACGAGCTTGGATTAAGAATGGTAAAGGCTTTGTTCTTCATTCATCAACATGACCGAGTGGCGCGAAAGGCGAGTGACGTTTCAGCAGCTGATTGGCGATATTAAAAACACGTGAAAAAATATATTTTTTTTTTCACGTGTGTTAAGACTTTTCTCAGGGTTAGGAAACCTTGTATAGCACCGTAGTTCATAAGAAAAAAGTTTTATTCTCGGGTGGAGAGAATTGGCCAGTGTTGCAACTTAGAGGAGACAAGTGCTTTAGAACCCACATACTTTCCATCACCGTCTAAAGTATTTTCAAAACAATGGCACTGACTGCGTTTAAGATTCCAAATGGTAATCTGATCTGTCAAAAACATTTTATTAGCAGTTTATCCACACAGTTTGTGACAAATCTTACCTTCATCCGTGTATAAGTGCGACTCTTTGCAACCGTAAAGCTCTACACGCATGCACCGCTGACCGAAAAAAGAGGTAGGAGAGAAACGAACGAAACGAGCTTCGAGACGAGGCTTCAGCCAGTGATGGACGATAGAGGACTGGTTCGTATTTCCCTTAAATTCCTTTTAGATTTGAAAAGGCAATTCAGTTGGTCAAGGTCGCACATTGATGGTCTAACGTTTAACTGAATGGTTTTTTTCTCCATCTCTAAAGTTTTCTGTGTTTATGAGGATTTTAATTGAGGAGTCAATTAATTACTTGTGGTCAGTTGAGTGTCTTTTATACGCCAACTCTTTCTATTTTATTCTTAGTAGGAAAACTTATTAAATTCACGCAAAAAAACAGCAACATCAGAGCCGTTTTCACAGACAAGGCTTAACAATTAATAAAGAATTTAGGATAAACCTCAAGACTCTTTTAAACAGTTTTCCCTTCAATTTAAGCATATTGTTAAATGATAAAATTACAATTATAGTTCATCTACAATATCGTAAAGGTTTCCTTGTACTGGTGTCGGAAAGAAAGGAATGGAAATATTATATTATTTTAAGTCATTTAATGCAAATTATAAAAAGGGCAGGTTGATTACTTCTTACTCCTTCTTGGTGGTCTTATCTTAAAGGTTGAGTTTGGTCACGTTCTTCTTGTGAGTTTGGCCACGTTCTCCTGGTGAGCTTAATCACGTTTTCCTCGTTGTGATCGTGAGGTTGACATGGAACTCGCGATAAGCCATGTCATTTACTAATTTAATTGTTAGTCCAGGAAGAGTAAATCTCCCTGGTAATAGGTCGCGTTCGACACCTTCGTGTTCCTAGAGGTAATTTAAGGGTAAACAGTTGATATCCTTCATGTTTCGCAACCAAAAGCAATTTGGGGGCGGTAATTGTGAGCGCCTTTCTTCTTTAACTCTTGTGACCAAGATGTTGTTATGTAACAATCTTTAAAGGTGATTTTCTCTTAAGATACCCTTTCAGGTATAAATAATACTCAGAACCAAGATTATTTGTAATTTTTATACTATCGATCTCGTTTCTGTTTTGGCCGATCTCAACCGTAAAGATATGAAAATTAAGTTAGAAATTGATTTTGTAACTGCGTAAACAACTCGAAGGTGCATACTCAGTATGTGGGAACTGTAATACGTAGTCAAGCGTGATTCGCTAGTTGAGATGGTACGATGATGACACAAGAAGATTGATGGCTTAGAAATGTCATCAGCAGTGTCACCTTTAAGCGGAGACTCTAGTTTTCCCTGTCAGACAGAAGCTAGTCCCCGTTGTATTAATTTGTGAAGAAAGAGAATAAAGAAGAATTAACTTACCAAACGACGAGTGTTAGAAAATTTACTTCTAACGATATGATATTCTGAGAATTTTATTGCGTGAGGAGTTATTTAGGCTTTCTTACGAAAGGACTCATGAAATCATGTCTGTAGTATCTGGCAATGGCTATATTTGAGTGTGATGTGAAAGGTTAACTATTAGGAAGTTGAACGTAAAAATTCTCTAAGAGTCACCTTGATTCTTCCTTCGTGACCCTCGATTAATATCCAATCAGTACCATCCAAGCTGTAACGAGCATGATATCTGCTGACCCAAAAATTTTCTGTGACGGCGCCTTGGGTAGAAAACCCTGACAGAATATGGACTGACAGCAAATCCACTTGTAGATATTGTGTGCCCATGTCAAGAGTTGGAGCACTGCACCAGGAGCTGGAGGCAAGACAACAACAGCTATTACTTTCCGTAATATTGGATTCGCTGCAAAATACTTCTGTTTCCCGATTAGCCGGGCCCGGTATTAACCTGAACCAATATCAATATCTCGTGAAATTCGCTAATACTTTTTTTGCGATCTTACCTTCGCAAGCTTGAATCCCGCTCGAGCCAAAAGACTCGAACCCTAAAAGGGGACTAACCTTAACCTTATGTCATTCTTTCATCGTTTACCTGTCTTGAGGAGAGCTGCTAAGGGAAACCCTTCCCTGTTTAGCGGCGTGCTGTTTGTCAAGTTCTGAGGATGCCGAGATCTGCTTGTCTCTTATTTGTCCATTTTCCAATCCCAGTGATGACGTGCAAGCTTCTAAGGAGTAAATAAGATCGAGCTTAGTTGTTATGAAGTGCAAGGTGACATAAGAAAGAAGGACAGAATTTTTTAAACAAGGGGGTCCTTCGCTAGCGTCGTAGAACGGGCTAAGGAGTGTTCATATATCAATAACCCACTTAGTTAGCGGTTTTATGGGATCTCTGAGGAAAAGCTGCAAGGCTGCGAGTGGAATGGGAAAAAGAATTCTGAGACAATTGGGAAAGAGGTATATAAATAATAGAAGCAGCACCGCCGCTGCTATTGATATCGCGCACCCACATAGCACAGGCTACACAACATTTGTCGTTTGTCGTGGCGGCCGGAATAGGGAGTTTGGCAATCTTTAAAGTATGAGGGCCATGAAATAATGTCTTGCTCATTGGGTTTCTCCTCCTCTCTTCTCTTTCTGAATAAGCATTGAGCCTTAATTCAGTGTATGGATGTTAGCTTTTTTTCGAATTCGTTTTATTCACTGTAAATTAGCGTCACTTTTGTTCACCATTAGATGTCTTGAGAATTATAACTCAGGTTTTTCCTTTCGTGTCTGCTGTAGGCCGGCTTGAATATACCACGCCAAACAGTTTGGTTACATACCTGTACAGGGTCCTTTATCCACGATCTCTATTTCAGTGTATTTTTCGCAGGCTGCTTTCTTCAACAGGCATTCGTTGTCATACGTCACATTATCTGAGCCACAAACTTCTTTCATCACCTTAGGACATTCCTGAATGCACTCGCATTCCTCTTCGCTTCTGTTGTTGTTCACGCAGCGAGAGAAAGTGGGATGACACCTTTTCTTGCAATCTATAAATGCTGGATACATTGAGAGGGTGAAAAAGATAGTGTCGAGCCTTTTCTTACGAAGACTCTTGTCATACGGACACCTATCAATCTCGGCAAGTTTCTCATGTCCTTAAGGATTCATTATTTTTTTCTTAAAAAGAAATAAAAAACCCGTAAAAGGTGGAACGTTTTTAATAAAGAAAACGGACACTAAATCACGGCCCGAGAGAACGAAACCCATGTAGACTCAATCTCTTAATCACGGACAATCCGGTTATAACGAGATTATGTTTTGTGTAGGTGATACAATTGTTACACAAACATTAATTGACGAAGTTGTGCGCAGTTTGCTCAAGAATTTTATTTAACTTGATCCGAGCAAGGGAAGGGATCGAGGACAGCTTTTGTTGAAAGATACCCTGAACTCAATTTCTCGCTCCCGGCAAACTTTACAAACTTTCTGAGACATGTATTCGGTCAATTTGTAAAACTCTTAGCTTATCCTGATGTGCACGTTTACAAATGTTTAGCTGTGCGATAGGGAACGGAAGAAACCAATATTATGGCTACTCGAGAAGCCTTCAAGGGTGAACTTTTGTAACTAACCGTCCTGATAGAGCCTGGAAATATCAAGGCAAAACTTGCAAGTCATTCCAAATTTTTTTTTTTGTGACAGCGTTTTACTTTTTCCAGACCATAAAACATTCATGTCAAGTACAAAATTTGTAGTTGAAAGTTCAGAGATACGTACTTTTCAATTATGTTATAACTTACTTTAAGAACTTTACAATTTTGTTCCCAAGATGACATTGACTAATATTTATTTTACTTTATTTCCAATACACGGGAGAAGTGTTCGCTTCCAGCCAAAAGTAAATTCAAGATGGCAACACTTAGGTGAATCATTTTCCGCAAATGGTGATTCAGTATATATAAACAAAAGCTGCCATTAAGCAAGCGTGAAAATATGCATTTGATGTTTGTCTGCGAACATTATGTGTTCCTAGATGCGAAAGGTTTTCAGAGAGCGAAGCTCGAGGATAACTATAAGATACGAGGAAGATATACTGTTCCAGGAAGAGGTACTGTTCCCTACGCTCGGGAAAAACTGTTTACGAACAGCTTTGAGTTTTTCGCGCGGATGTTTACTTTCAGTATTCGCTGATACGACTTCATGAAAAACGAAACGTCCCTCGTTTTGTAACAAAAGCTTAACGCTCTCTAATCTTGAATCAAATGCAAAACGAAGGCTCTCATCGTAAGTCGCTTGGAGTACATAGTTGGATATTTGCCAGTTTTAGCTACCGCATATTCGTTCACGTGTGGCGTTTAGACTAATCGCGCGCGAGCAACAATGTTTGTAGGGTTAATAGCTGATAACCAGAGTTGACTAAACCAATCAGAACACTAGAAATGCAATATCCAATAAGGTATCAATCATTAGCAGTAGCAGTTACCAAAGCAACTGAAGGTTTAGATATGTCATTATCCGAAAACTCCTGGATATGCCCCCTGAGATCGGGTATTTAGAAGCTCTGAGGTTCTAATGCGCGTGAAATCATAAGATCTTTCGTATACCTTGTTTTTCTATACCAACAAGTTGTGGTCAATAACCTACATTTGCCAGCCTGGCATGTCATTTACCTCGACATCCTTTCCAACAGTCATATTCAGACAAAAAGTTGTTGAGGTTTCCATGGCATCCACCATAACTAAACGGTTCACATTGTTTAGTTTCCTTGTTAAAAAACCATCTGGGAAATGAAGCCTTACAATTACCAGGCTGTTTGGGCAGGTTACAGCGGATTGGTTCTGCGAAAAAATGACATGTTAAATTTTTTAATGGTCAATTAAATTCTACCATCATCGAGACACATACAGTAGGAATGAAAAGGGGTGAAAATTTTGAAAGTCGTTGATATGCTTTTAACTTCACAGTTTTAATAAGTCTTACCTTCTCGCTGCCTTTGCTTTGATGAAAACGGTGTCAACATGGATATGTCGTCAGTGCGGCATCCATATATCTCGACACTCATACACATCCGACCAACATAAGATGTAGGGTATAAAACAACTATTGCAGCATGCAAGTGAGGCTTCAGCCAGTGACGGACGATAGAGTACTGGTCCTTATTTCCCTCAAACTCCTAAAAAAGCGTCATGTAGGTGTTGTTGAAAACTAATGATCTAACGAGTTAATGAATTACTTATTTCTCCATCTTTGAATTTCTCTACAAGAAAAAATATCTAAAACATTTTACCATTAGTGAGTTGCAGAAAGTTTTGCCAATTTCAATAAAAAAAGAAAAGAAGTAAAATAAATGAATTAAATAGAAAGATAAGAAAAAGAATGACGATAGGATGACAATAATTCCTCCACTTTCGACTGCGCACTACAAACAATGTTAACAACGGGTCTTAGCGCCCACTTTCCTTGAGTTTAGATATGAGTAGATATCGGTGACTAACTTCAAGTAACTACATAGAACGTTTGTCATGAAAGCCACCTTGATGTTTCCTTTCTCATCAGTAAGTAGGTAAAGAAATTCATGTTGAGATCTCAAATAGACGAGATAACTGCTGACCCAACTCTTTTCTGTTACTGCTCCTTGGGTAGAAATCGCTGATATGGAATAATCTCTAAAGCCAAGATCCAGGATCAGTAATTCTGCTTTCTTGCCATTTCCTGAGGCACACCAGGAACTATTAATCAAATTAACAATTGAAAGGTCAATTGCATATAGGGCTTTCTGGCACACGAAGCCGTCAAACGTCTGCGTATGTACGAACTTTGTAACGGGTAACGGCTGCGAGGCGTGCTTTCAGAACTAGGTGTCTCCTTAGAGTTACGAAAATCCGTGCAAGCTGGTGGGTTACGGCATAAAGAGTTTTAAGCTCAAAAAAAAATGGTTGAAATTTTGTGGGGAAGTTGATCCTATTGCCCATGCTCAACAATGGACCGGTGTGTTTGCCAACCCCGTCAAAACTTACGCTTGAAGGCATATTTGAGTTTGCATAAAATGATTACTTAGTTATTCCACCAAATGGGGAGCCTGGATCATAGCCTAAACACCACCAAAAAGCTGGCCAACGAAAGAGACCGCGGCGAAAAACCTTTGTTGGTGTTTGTAATCACACAGGTTATTAAAAAACGCCGAAGAGGTGATGCTGACCTGCTCCCTCATCTTCAAATCTACATTTGGATTTCGAAACGTTTAGTAGGAATCGATTTGGGAGTTAACAGGAGAGCAGGTTGATTAAAAGTCAGATCAGCTTCTACAAAATAAGTTATCTATGTTACTTTTTAGGTGTCTTGAGTGATCTGAGAGAAGCAATGTCATGGAGCCATGCATGTCTGGCAGTGTGGTTCTTGTCCGATGCAGATGATGACACCAAATTAGGAAATATCGTCTTACGAAGAAAGACATGTAACGACATTGGACAAGCTGAAAGCAAATGAGTGAATACGAACTCAGTTTAGTGCTATACGATGTTGAGCGACACACAACATGATAGTTAAGAATTACATGAGTGGGAGAGATATACGTGAAAATATTTGGCTGGTAGTTATGACGCTCGAACTTCGTTAAGCTCAGTCCAAGTGTCGTGACCTCGGGCGATATATTTTCCCGTCTAGCCCTACCTAAATTAGCCGATATGGATTTAGTTTACACATAATCATCCTAATTTCTCCGTTTTCCCTTCTCCTTAGATTTTATCCATCTACCAGCGATGATCAACTGGTTCCTATCGCTTTGAACGCAATTCCAAATTGCCATGGATAATCTATGGGTGATACAATTCACAGTAAAAATCATCGAAAGAAATATTAGGATTGTTACAGCAACAAAATTTTCGGGCAATCTTTCTCGCACGGCTGCCCGCTAAGTCCTACGATTTTTTCCAGCCCCGCTTGCGCAATCAAATGGGGACTTTTCTTATATATGTCATACAATAAAAGCGCCCATTGTGCCACACTGGTCATGTGATAAAGTTAAAATAATTTTAAACCGCAGGTCATAACTGTGCTACAGACACCTAAAATCGCGCACATAAATGCATCAGGCATATCTCTTTTACTTAACTGTCATCATGTAGATAGATGTATAAAAAACGGTCAAAAATACCTTCTCTAATACATTCAGTTCCATTTGACAAGATAACTGGATCGCAGAAATGAAGATAAAGCCGCGCTGCGTAGGTCCTTATCTGAGAGCAACCTTTAACTAGTCTGTGTGATTTATCCCTTTTACGTGCTATGCCTGAAAGTTATATAAAAAGGAACTGCAAAAGAATTCTGAAAATATTTCAAGTGCAACTGAGCGCCGCGCAACAGAGGGAAAACAGGGAAAAACGACTCATTTTTTGTTCTCCACGTCGATGAAGTGGTTAGGCGGCTGGTAAGAATAAGACTAACTTTTAGAGTGAAATGTGCTACCACAAAAAATGAAAAGCGACACAGGCTCACGTCTTTGCTCTCTGTGTGTCTGCTATTTCATCTTAAATTGCATTATCGACATTATCCTGTCTCAACTTTGCTTTTAAGTTGCATAGCAACAAGGCTCGTGCGTCACGGATTGAATTAATCGCCATTTACTGTCGCAAAAAGAGCGTAAAAAACACATTTTGAACGGGAAATTTCACAGCAGAATCATCCTTTAAAAAGCAAACCAATAAACTCCCAGACTTATGAACAGAACGTTTATTGAGTGAAGGCAAAAGATTCGAGTTAAAGAAAATTTACCCCAAAATAGACGCCGTTGAAGCGTTAACACGAACTTTCCTGAGTCGAGGATTTTTTGAGGAATAAAAAGGCGAATTCTCATACGAAGTAATAATAACTGGTCCGCGTATACGTAGCTAGCGGTTTTGTTGGGGAGTGTCTGAGCGATTTGCGTTTATGCGTACATGAAAGCTTTGTTTCATGATTTTCTTTGATTGATGCAGGTTATTAGCGGCCGGTAAAATGTAATCTGCTTCATTTTTTCACCTAAGGAGCACTAATCCATATGCATAAGAACAACAGAAAAAAATTAGGTTACAAGACAGCTTTTATTCAAAGCCAGATAAATTTACGGACTAACAGCGTAAAAGATATTGTAGAATGGTGCCAAAAGAAAAATTAAATCTTTGCCGAAATCTAGCTGACCGTTAAAATTTTGACAAATACGGACAAAAACACAAGAACGAAATAGCTTTCAGGTCAATTGCGTAACAAAAAGAAAAGTCAAATCCAATGAAATCTGTAAAACTTTAAAACATGGTAGATCAGCTGCCAGATTTGTGCAAAATATGGCCAAATGGCGGCCAAATGGCGGCCAAACGGATGCGCGAAAATCAACTTACAGGGCGCAACAAATTATATCTATTCTTTGAAGCCTGTTTATTTACAATTGACCATTTTTATTCACGTCTGCTCTTCATTTGTGAGAGGTATTTTGATCAAAAATGGAGCAAAAAGGAGGAAAACCACCTTGATGATTTTAGAGTACGGTCCGGTGGAAAATGCATATATCGATCATTGGGACTGTTTTCATCGTCGATTTTAAGACTTTGCAGCCCTCCTCCTTCTAGTTGAGTAATCTTCTTTAAATTTTCTGTTTGTTTGTGAGGTCTAAAAGGATGTATTTTGATTAAGGAAGGAGCGAAAAGAAGGAAAAACTAGCAAGATTATTTAAGCTTAGGGCCCGACGACATGTGCCAAGGCAAAAATGTCGGCCTTTGTACCACTCACCAGACCTTTGAACAAAAAAACAATTGCATGACTTTGGGACTGAAGCAAACCTAGAAGGGGAGGCGGGAGATAACGCTTCTGAACTATTAGCGCCTGGATGGACGATGCAGATTTAGCGCCCAAAAGAGAAAAAAAAAATGCCTTGTATATTTAGACTTGGGCGTTCCTACGGAAGGTGAAGTAAAAATTGTTACGTGAGAACGTGGAATTAAAAGAATATGATTAAAATCAGATGATCACAAAGTCATAGTGTGACGCCAAACACCGCAAAGCCTTCAAATTGTGCATGAAAAAATATATGCTTTTTGAAGAATAACTTGTAAAATTAACACAATGCTTGTTAATTTGTTGTATTTTACACTTACCGAGAATTTTATAAGTTTCCACATCTTTTATCAAAAGTTCCGAAGTTTTGAAACTCTTTGTGTGACCGCATGTTAGAGTCCCAAGCAAATATCCCTGCCTAGCATCGCAATAATCCAATCCCAAGAAGTCGACAGTGTAGAGATCTACTTCTCCGGTAAAGATCTTAGGCAAAGGCTTTTCACACTTGAATGTAATAGTAGGTTTCATCCCAGGTAATAAAGCTGCTTTTGGGTCTCCGAGCTTACTGCAAGGGAAAGTGACAATAAATACCTTTGAACGACATGCAATTCATCCCAACTGACCGTCGCAGTTATTTGGCGATGACTTGTTGGATATGAATGAAGGAAAGTTTGTCAACTAGATGGTTATATGACCTGACGTAGAACAAATACCGCGGAGAAAAATTGATGATATAAGTGCAGTTTTTTTTTACCACACATGTAAATAGTGCTTTTCAGCCAAGCTGATTGGTAAAATCCGAGGTTATCATCGAAGTAATTTAACCTCCTCATTCTAGTCACGATGTAATGACTCATCTACCAGTGAGGCTCAGCTAGTTAAAACTGATCCCGGATTGCTTTGTCCAATCATCTAAAGGTTTAAATAATGCCAATAGTAATAATAATTACAATATACCACACAGGTATAAGCGATAAATAAGTATTATCCACCTCCGAGCAACTGAAGAGACATTTCTGTCCGTTTTTAACTTGTGGAGAGCAAAGCGTAGAAACAAGTTTTTATGAGGACTCCGATATACAAATAAGCCACTCATTCAGGTGTAGACATTGTGGTAGTTACTCGTCCCGAACTCGCCCGAGCGTGACGCCATCATCTTGGAACAGTAACCGCGTTTAAACGATGGCCAGGCTTGTTACAGTTTATACTGACCATTGTTGCTTTAAAAGCCAGTTTTCGAGTAAACAAGAAAAACCCTTTAGTTGAAGCACAAACCCATTGAATTGCTTTGATGTGAATCGCTTTGATTGTTTACGATCTGATGTAAAACAAAATCTGTGGGAAACAGTTGAAGTTCATTGGCTGATTGAGAAACTCAATTAGAATACATTCAATAAAGGGGGTAAGTTTCTAAATAAACTGTGGTGCTGCGTCGGTGGGAGAGTATAGCAGGTAAGTTAGTGTTAACAACTGAGTTGAAAACGTAAAGTGGCCACCGTAAAGGGTAAAAAAGCTGACGTTTCGAGCGTCAGCCCTTCGTCAGAGCGATAGACGAAGAACTAACCCTTTGACGAATCACCTAAATTACCAAAAAATTCACTAAAAAATTAAATTCTTTAAAAATTAAATTCACTAAATTACCTATAATACATTCAAGTCACTATCTCTTTACTGATTGGCCGAAAGCGTGGAGTTTGGTTGCAGTCAATTTCATGGTAAACATCGTGATGCGTTACTCTTTGATCGGGTCTTTCGATGTTGTAAGTTTGAACAGTTGCAAGTGTGTTGCAAGGTGGATTTGTGTCATTATTGACTGTTGAGGGAAATTGTTTGGCTGTTTCGAGGGTAATTTTGAGAACACTGGACGAATGGAAATGTTTTCGATGCCTGGAGGAAGTGATCTTATGGAGTCGTTTCTATCGTTAGCATGTTTGTTTGATTCCGTTATCTGGAATGAATGATTTACGTAGGTAAGTTGATGTGATGTGATCTACTAACGTTGAAAATATGTCAAATCGAAGGAACAGTTTTTGTCTCGGTCCACATTTTTGTCTACAAAATAAACTCATACCGCTTAAAAAGATGATAATACGGACAACATGCAAAGCAGTCAACTATTTCTCGAATATTGCGCGTAATGAATACTTAATTGTGATATCTCATTTACATCTACATCTACTTTTATTAAGTTTGTAAAATCTGTACGGACATTACACCAACCAACTCGCACGTAAGGTGAGAAGACTGTATGAAGGCTTGAAATTATATTAAGAACGATTTTTATCGAGAAACAGGCCAGGAATATTCCACAATAGTGAAAATAATCGTGAAAGCTGATCGCGGAAAAGCGATTCCGTGACGCTCGGTCACTTGTAAGACAACATGTTACCACATATCAGACGAAAAAATAGCTTAAATTCTCAGTCTGCATTTTTTACCCACTCTGCAGTCTGCAGTCTACATTTTGTACCTAGTCTACATTATGTATCTGGTCTGCACTCTGCAGTCTGTATTTTCTACCAACAGGTATCCGTGGCACCAATACAGTTTATTTTTGGTTACAGTTATTCGCACAATTTTCAAAATCGACCACAAAATACCTGTGTGTGAGTAAATTCGACATTTTCGTTCTTTTCCGCGTTAATACTCTTTCCTTTTGTAAAAATGTAGACATCACTTGCAATGTTTCAGTTAATCCACCCATCCGTGGAAAAATAACTCTTGCACGCATAGCATGCCTATGTTTATTGGAAGCCAATAAAACGCTCTTGTACTTAGGATTTGACGTGCGTCAATTATAAATGGCCGTTCTGCTTGAATTGAAATATTTTCTCCCTCTCTTTGAACCAAGAGATGCTATAAACATATTAATTCTTTTTTAATCCGCAAACTTACATGAAAAGAACGGTTCAAGTAAGCGAAGGTTTTTTGCAAGGAACTGTGATACAACGTCGTGCAAGTATCTCTTTTGTCGAGAGTTACAAGGCACAATGCAACGTGTTCCTTCGTAGAATGTGCGAACGGCTAACTTTGTTCAATGTCCACAGCAAATAAATGAATGAATAAATGAAATTTACCAATGCGATCGAAAACAACACCAGCATCTTTTCAACGAGTAGTATACAATTTTTTGGTGTTTTGCAAAGTTTTAATGGAAACTTCCAGGTGGACTGAACAAGATTAAAGACACTGTTGGAAATGTAGCCGATGTTTGTAAACGCGAAGAAAGAAGGATGTGGCATCGTTTTGGAGTCGAACCTACTTTGCAAGGCTTTTGGAGGACTGCATATATAGAGAAAGACGAGCAAGACGAAGAGAACTGGAGTATGCTTTTTCAAAAGCTTGAAATACTGTCTGGTTCGTACTCGCCAACATTTTGCTTGGGGGCATCTTCAAGAACTGCCAAGGAGCTTTTCGAGAGCAGCAGTGGGTGCGTTCATTCATTAAAATATCCATCTGCCTGCTATCCGCAAACCCTTCAAGCGTTTTCCACTCGCATTTCGTCTTTTTCGTTTTTTTCTTTTTGTGTTTGACGACCTTTCGGCGGCGATGACATCATCCAGCTCTCGAGTCGAGTTGTCTTCGTCGTGCTCGTCTTCTCCGTTCGTCGCTTGTTTTCCTCCAAAATCTCGAAGAAACCAACTCGAAAGTCTGGGATATCTGCTTCTGAGTTTTGTTCTTTTTGTTCGTTCGTACTTTTCCTTTAAATGTGTTTCAAAATTTTCTTCTAGAGACATTTTGGCCATCAAAACAAACTTGTGAATTAAGCGGGCCGGACAATGAAATAGACCAATCATAGCGCATGTGCTAACTGAGAGATAAAATAAGAGGTATCTGAGGTATACGTTTATTATTTTGCGGAGTTACCATCATTCTGGATTTCGAAATGTTAATCCGCCGTACTCTAAATTCACATAGTGCTGAAATGATAACAGAAAACAGTGGACACTTTTGTCAAGTTTGTTAACTCAGAATAAAACCTACCTGGCGTCCATAAACCTCAATGTGACATCCGAGGCCATCACATTCGCAAAAGTTAAAAAACTGGCCAGGAGAAGAAAGGGACTGAGCCGTGGCTCGCTCATTTTACTTTACAAAAACAGCAAAGAAAACATTTCATGTGTTTTTCATGTGTTTTTTGATGGGTCCATGACGCAACAAAGGTAATTAATTACATCATCGAATACTAGTCAATACGCGCGCAACTAATTAAAAGACGCTCATTTAGCATTTTAACCGAAAATAATTAATTGAAACAAAAGAAAATATAACAATATGTCAGTCCACATATTTTTGTTTGGATAAAAGACTCAAGCAGTCATATTGTTCCCTTTTGCGAATATTTAATTTCGTTCGATACAATAATTGCATTAATTTTCTTTATAACTGTACAACATTCTTACATACGGTTTGCGAGTTATCAAGAGAGAACGCGAAAGATCCCTATTTTACTCGTCGCAAAACGTTAAGTCATGGAATAGAGCTTCGCTAAGATCGGTATCTTAGCAAGTGAAGAATCAAGAATGATCTTTAAATAAAATCTTTGATCTTTCTATTATTTTATACAGTATGTCTTGTGTATATATACAGTATGTCTAATGTATTTTTAGACTCCTAACAGTTGATGTAACTTAAAATATGTCTTTTTATCCTAGGAGGAATAAAGATTGATTGATTGATTGATTGATTGATTGATTGATTGAAACTGGAAACTTCAGAGAATCTGATAGTGGAAATTGACGAAACTCTCAACGCAGTTGAACTGAAAAAGGCCGGGAATATAATTTCTCTCTCTAATTCTAATTCGTTTACTGAAAGTCTTAGAATCGGAAAGGCAAACTGCCGAAAATTAATCTTAAGAAACTCTTAAAGTTTTCAAAGGTGTCTGGGGGAACTTTTGGTCGAGAACAATGTTATCGATAGGTCGAAATCACGACAAAGGAAGCACACTTGCGGCTGGTTTTGTTTATGCAGTTTATTTTGGCTTATACCGGATTGCAATGACGCTTAAGTAAAAGAACAAGTTTAAATATATCAGTTGTAAGTTGTACATTGACTGACAAAAGGTTTAGGTATGACAATTACTGATAAAAGTTTTCAATTAGCAACACAGTAAGTGACAAAAGTAATCCTGACAAAAAGGTGAAGATGTAAACTGACTTCATTGTACCAGACGACTTCTCTTGAGAATCAACGTCATAAAATGGTACTGAAGAAAGAAAGGAAAAAAAATGCAGTGAGATCTATAAATTCATCCCTTTCCTAAGATATTTTTAAGAAACCTCAAACATTCAGGGAGTATGCTCGGCGAAATAGCAGTTACTAAAATGGAACAAAAACTGGCCAAAACCTTTTGGAAAATAGTTTGTTTAGATACCTGCCAAGCAAGCCAGAAATATGCTTGTTAGCATAGTTAAAACATATTGATTGAGTGACAATAATGATCCGAAATTGCTTCGGCTTTGCATCGCTTCGCTCTGCGATTGGTCCAGAAAACACCACTCCCTCAACCAGTCAGATGCAAAACTGCAATGAATCACGATTTGGTCCCTCACGTTTTCCCGCGCTTTAGGCCGTTTGGTTGGTTTTACTCCGAGTTTTGATTGGCTCTTAAACTTATTTTATCTTCTTCTGATTGCCCGATGTGACAACGACACTCATAGAGTGATAATGAAGTGTTCAGTTGAACTAATCTACCAACCTTCACATTAACTATGTAAAGCAAATGATATGCGTTTGTTTTTCTAACAAGCACGTTTCTTGAGTTCACAAAAATATTTGTAAGTTCTTCGATCCGATCCACAAACTTTACGGACTAAATACCTTTACTGAACCAAAGATATAGATCAAAAGTTGTGTGTTCTTGGTACTAACTATCACCCAAGGACATGGGAAGGAGTAAATTAAGTAATTCCCGTGATGGGCAGACAGTGAGTCTGCCGAATCATCAGAGAATACTTACAACGTGAACACTTTTGCATCTGATGTGAAAAAAGATAATTTTTGTGTCGCACCAGCTGAATGTGTTTTGAGGATTACAAGGAAAGTTGGTGAAATCAGTAATGAATTAGATTACCGTTTACATCAAGAGAATATACATTTTATATTTTCTTGGTTCACATTTACTCCAGAGGTGCATCTGATGATTCAGACATAGCAAAAAGCTTCTTTGAAAAAGAAATACCTGTACAAGCTCCGTTTTTCACCAAAGTTAGTTCTTCTTCCTTTGCGCAGGCTGTTTTTTTCAACAGACACTCGTTGTCATATGTGACATTATTCGAGGCACAAACTTGTTTCACAGCTTTAGGACATTCCTGAATGCACTCGCATTTTTCTTCGTTTCCCTTGTGCTTCACGCAGCGAGAAAACGGAGAAGAACACTTTTTGTTGCAGCCTAAGAGGTGATCTTTGAAAACTGCGGAGGTTTATGGAATAGATATAGAGAATAACACATGGGTGCACGTAGATAAGGAATTTCTCTTCGAATGTTTAACTCGACAGCTCACGAGTGAGCGCAGCAGGAACTGCTGAAGCTTGTAAAAATGTAAATCGTCAACACAAGCAAATTCAAATTCTCGCCATCTTTGAAAACCACAAAGGTTTATGGAAAAGATAAAGTCTAATTCTCGGGTGGAGAGAATTGGCCAGTATTGCTGCTTTGAGGAGACAGGTGCTCAAGGACACACATACTTTCCATCACCGTCAAGAGTATTTTCAAAAAAATGGCACTGACTGCATTTAAGATTCCAAATGGTAATCTGATCTGTCAAAAACATTTATCAGCAATTCATCCACAAAAATTGTAAGAAATATTACCTTTATCCGTGTATGACTCCTTGCAACCGTAAAGCTCTACACGCATGCACCGCTGACCGAAAAAAGAGGTAGGAGAGAAACGAACAAAACGAGTATGGAGACGAAGCTTCAGCCAGTGATGGACGATAGAGGACTGGTTCGTATTTCCCTGAAATTGCTTTTAGATTTGAAAAAGAACTTCAGTTGGTCAATGTCGCACGATGATGATCTAACGTTTAAATGAATGGGTTTTTTTCTCCATCGTTAAAGTTTTCTGTTTTGACGAGGATTTTATTTGATGAATCAATTAACTACTTGTAGTCAGTTGAATGTCTCCTATACGCCAACACTTTCTATTTCATCCTTAGTAGGAAGTATTAATAAATTCCCGCAAAAAATAGCAACATCAGCGCCGTTTCCACAGAGAAGTCTTGACAATGCTTAACAATCACTGAAGAACCAAAGATTAACCTCAAGACTCTAGTAAACAGTTTTCCCTTCAATTTAAGCATAAGAATGTGTTGTAAGCATTTTTTGTGGGGAGTTATTTGGGCTCTCTTACGAAAGGACTCATGAAATCGTGTCTGTAGTAGGTGGCAATGGCTATATTTGAGTGTGATGTGAAAGGTTAACTATTAGATAATTGAACATAAAATTATCCAAGAGTCACCTTGCTTCTTCCTTCGTAACGTTTTTCGTAATTTTTTTCTGCTCCGTCGATTAATATCCAGTCAGTACCATCCAAGCTGTAACGAACCAGATATCTGCTCACCCAAAACTTTTCTGTGACGGCGCCTTGGGTAGAAAATCCTGACAGAACATGGACTGACAGCAAATCCACTTGTAGATATTGTGTTCCCATGTCGAGAGTTGGAGTACTGCACCAGGAGCTGGAGGCAAGACAGCAACATATATTTCTTTCCATGATATTGGATTCGCTGCAAAATGCTTTTGATTCCTGATTAACCAGGCCCTATATTAACCCGAACCAATATCAATATCTCATGAAATTCATTAGTACATTTTTTGCGATCTTACCTTCGCAAGCTTGAACCCCGCTCGATCCGAAAGACTCGAACCCCAGTAGGAAAAATCTATTTTCCCAAGATTTCTCGGTATTTCTTAAGTAACATTTACAATGTATTAAGACATGGCCTAAAAGGGGACCAACCTCAACCCTATGTCATACCTGTCTTGAGGAGAGCTGATCAGGGAAACCCTTCCCTGTTTGGCGGCGTGCTGCTTGTCGAGTTCTGAGGATGCCGAGATCTGATTGTCTCTTATTTGTCCATTTTCCAATCCCAGTGAAGACATACATGCTTTTAAGAAGTAAATAAGATCGAACTCAGTTGTTATACAGTGTAAGTTGACGTAAGAAAGGAGGACATAATTTTTAAACAAGGAGGTCCTGCGCTAGCGTATTAGAACGGGGCTAAGGAGTGATCATATACATATGATCTTTTTAAAGAAAACTGCTTGATTTAAAATGTCAGAAGGTTGAAGGAGGGGGGAGCGTAGGGGGGGGGAGTGGAGGTCAAATTACAATAACCCGTTTAGTTAGCGGTTTTATGGGATCTATGAGGAAAGGCTGCGAGGCTGCGAGTGGAATGGGAAAAAGAATACTGAGATAATTGGGAAAGAGGTATATAAATAATAGAAGGGGCACAGCCGCTACTAATGATATCGAGCACCCACATAGTACAAGCTACACAACATTTGTCGTTTTTGTCGTGGCAGCGGGAACAGGGAGTTCAGCCATCTTTAAAGTATGAGGGCCATGAAATAATGTCTTGCCCATTGGGTTTCTCTTCCTCTCTTCTCTTTCTGAATAAGCATTGAGTCTTAATTCAGTGTATGGATGTTAGCTTTTTTTCGAATTTGTCTTATTCGCTGTAAATTATCGTCACTTTTGTTCACCTTTTTAAAGACATTTAAAAATGTCTTGAGAATTATAACTCAAGTTGTTCCTTTCGTGTCTGCTGTAGGACGCCTTGAACATGCCACGCCAAACAGTTTGGTTACATACCTGTACAGGGTCCTTTTTTCACGATCTCTATTCCAGTGAATTTTTCGCAAGCTGCTTTCTTCAACAGGCATTCGTTGTCATACGTCACATTATCTGAGCCACAAACTTCTTTCATCACTTTAGGACATTCCTGAATGCATTCGCATTCCTCTTCGCTTCTGTTGTTGTTCACGCAGCGAGAGAAAGGAGCGTGACACCTTTTCTTGCAATCTAGAAATGCTGGAAACATTGAGAGAGTGAAAAATATAGTGTTGAGCCTGTCCTTACGGATACTCTTGTCATTCGGACACCTATCAATCTCGGGAAGTTTCTCGTGTCCTTAAGGATTCAACATTTTTTCTTCAAAAAGAAAAAAACTGCAAAAAGAGGACAACAGGCACTAAATCTCGGTCCCAGAAAACAAAACCTATCTAGACTCAATCTCTTAATCACGGACAATCCGGTTAGAACCAGATTATGTTTTATGTAGGTGATAAAATTGTTGCACAAACATCAATTGACGAAGTTGTGCACAGTTTACTCAAGAATTTTATTAGACTTGAACCGAGCAAGGGAAGGGATCGAGGACAGCTTTTGTTGAAATACATCTTGAACTCAATTTCTCGCTCCAAACTTTACAAACTTTCTGAGACAAGTTTTCGGTTCATTTGTAAAACTTCTTGCTTATCCTGATGCACACATTTACAAATGTTTGGCTTTGCGGTAAGGAACGAAAGAAAACAATATTATGGCTTTTCGAGAAGGCTTCAAGGGTGAACGTTTGTAACTAACGGTTCTGACAGAGCCTGGAAATATCGAAACAAAACTTGCAAGTCATCCTGAAAATGTTTTCTTTTATGACAGCGTTATACTTTTTTCTAGACCAAAAAGTTCAGCCGGAGATACGTACCTTTCAATAGCGTTATAGTGAATTTGACACTTTTGTTCCCGAGATGACATCGACTAATATTTGTTTTACTTTATTTCTAATACACGGGAGAAGTGTTTTCTTCCAGCCAAAAGTAAATTTAGGATAGCAACACTAACGTGAATCATTTTCCCCAACTGGTGATTCAGTAAATATAAACAGGAGCCACCATTAAGCGAGCGCGAAAACTGATATACATTTGATGTTTGTCTGCGAAAATTATCTGTTCCTAGATGCGAAAAGCTTTCAAGAGCGAAACTCGACGATAACTGTAAGATACTAGGAAGAGATACTCTTTCAGGACAAACATACAAGCATATTTTTCACCAAATGGGTGCTATTGAGTTTATTATCCTTCAAACATTTTGCAACGCGTGGAAAAAAACTGTTTAAGAACAGCTTAGCGTTTGTTGCGCGGATCTTTACTTTCAGTGTTCTCTGGTGCGACTTTCTTAACATGTCCCTCGTTTTGTAACAACAGCTTAACGCTCTCTAATCTTGAATCAAACTCAAAACGAAGGCTTTCATCGTCGTGGACGAACAGTTTGCAACTGGGGAATATCACTTGGAGTATATCATTTGATATTTGACAGTTTTAGCTACCGCATATCTGGTCACGTGTGGCGTTTAGACTAATCGCACGCGTACAGCAATGTTTGCATTTACCTCGACATCCTTTCCAACAGTCATATTCAGATAAAAAGTTGTTGAGGTTTCCATTGCATCCACCATAACTAAACGGTTCACATTGTTTAGTTTTCCTGTTAAAAAACCATCTGGGAGATGAAGCCCTACAATTACCAGGCTGTTTGGTCAGATTACAGCGAATGAATTCTGCAAAAAAACGACGTGCAAAATTTTAATGGTCAATTAAATTTTACCATCATCGAGACACACGAGAATGAAAAGGGGTAGAGAAAATCTTGAAAGTCTTTGATATACTTTTAACTTCACAGTTTTAATAAGTCTTACCTTCTCGCTGCCTTTGCTTCGATGGAAACGGTGTCAACATGGATATGTCGCTAGCGCGGCATCCATATATCTCGATACTCATACACATCCGACCAACATAAGATGTAGGGTATAAAGCAAGATATGTAGCATATATCTGATGCTTCAGCCAGTGACGGACGATAGAGGACTGGTCCGAGTTTCCCTTAAACTCCTGAAAAAAAAAAAAAAGCGGCATGAAGGTGCTGTTGAAAACAAATGATCTAACTTGTAAGTCAATGGTTTATTTTCCATCTTTGAATTTCTCTACAGCAAAAGGTACCTAAAACATTTTACCATTAGTGAGTTGTAGACAGTATTTTCGATTTATATGGAAAAAAAATGAAAGAAGTAAAATAAATGAATGTAATAGAAAGATAAGAAAAAGAATGACGAAAATGAATGACTATAATTTCTCCATTTTTTGAATGTACACTACAAACAATGTTAACAACGGGTCTTAGCGCCCTCTTTTCCTTGAATTGGGATACTAATTTCAAGTAACTACATAGAACATTTGTTATGAAAGCCACCTTGATGTGTCCTTTGTCGTCAGTGGCTAGATGAATAGGGTCATTGTCAAATTTGCCATAGAAGAGATAACTGCTGACCCAACTCCTTTCTGTAACTGCTCCTTGGGTAGCAATCGCTGATATCGCAAATGGTTGGTGAAGCAGCACTACCAGAAATTCTATTCTCTGGCTTTCTCCCGAGGCACACCAGAAACTATCAGTCAAACAATAACAATTGAAAGGTCAATTGCATAGAGGGCTTTCTGGCACACGAAGCCGTCAAACGACTGCGCATGTGCGAACTTTGTAACGGCTGCGGGGCTTGCTTTCGGGCTGTCAGAATTAGGTGTTTCCACAGAAAGAACGAACAGCCGGGCAAGCCGGTTAGTTCAAGTACGTTATACATTTTCATTGTCAAGCTCAAAACGAAATGTTTCAAATTTTTCGTGGGGAATTGGTGCGCGGCTGGGCAAAGTTGATCCTTTTGCGCATGCTCAACAGTTGACCGTTGAGTTTGCTAGCCCCGTCAAAACTTACGCTTGACGGCATATTTGGGTTTGAATATAATGATTGCTTAATTATTCCAGCAAATTGGGAGTCTGGATCGTAACCTAAACACCACCGAAAAGCTGGCCAAAGTCAGAGACCGGGCGAAAAACCTTTGTTGGTGTTTGTACTTACGAAAGTAAGAGAAAAACGCCTAACGGGTGATGCTAACCTACTTTCTCATCTTTAAATCTACATTCGAATTTCAAAACGTTTAGTAGGAATTTATTTGGGAGTTAACAGGAGAACAGGTTGATTAAGAGTCAAAATCAGCTCTTACAAAACAAGCTATCAGTAGATACCTTCCAGGTTTTTTGGATGATCTGGGCGAAGCAGTGTCGACGAGCCATGCATGTTGGGCAGTGTGGTTCTTGTCCTTTTTTGGCAGTGACGCCAAAATAGGGAACATCCAGCCATCATGAAGAAAGACATGTAACGACATTGGACAAGCTGAAAGCAAATGAATGGATACAAACTCAGTTCATTGTTATACGATGTTGAGGGACAAGAATTAAGAATTACTGACTGGGAGAGATATACGGGGAAATATTTGGCTGGCGGTTGTGACGCTTGAACTTCGCTAAGGTCAGTCCAAACGTCATGACCTCGGGCAATATATTTTCCCGTCCAGCCCTACCTAACTCAGTCGATGTGGATTCAGTTTCCATATGATCATCCTCATTTCTCCGTTTTCCCTTCTCCTTAGATTTTACCCATCTACCAACTGACTAGCTGGTTCCTAGCAAAAGCATATCGGCGCCAATCATGGCGGCCACGTTTAGAGTAGCTCTAGTTTCTATCACTATTCTATCCTGTTTAAGCGCTGCATTTCTAAACCATTTATTATCCTTCGAGGCTACTTTTAAATCAAGGTGGGAACCCCTGCACACTGCTGTTCAACTCAAGAAGAAATGCACTTGTATCGTCAAAGATGGTTTTCATCGATCAAGAGTTCCAATGCAGAAGCACACTAAACACGGGTTTGTCTCCTTAGTCATCCCTGGCCACGACCCTCCATTGGACATCACGGTATACGTTGATATTTCGACCAACCCCGGTCCTGCTCAATCTATTATCGCCATTGGTAGCCGGCAGAGAGCCACTAGAGATTTAATTCGGCAGCTTGATTCTCCAATTCGCCAAACAACGACCCTACAGTACTCTCGGCGCGAACTGGTGTCGCTCCGGAAAAATTACAGCCTTCAGGAGAGACGGTCAGTTTTATTTAAGAACATTCGAGCGGATGGAATTTTTAAGTACCGAGGGAAACGGTCCGGAAGACTTACTAAAACACAATTAAATACAGGCCGAAGCAAATATTCTTCAGAAACAAATGAATTTTCAACCTTGAATAATTATTCACAGTCGAACAATCACACCTCACCGGGGCTTTCAGTAATTCCCGTGAGAACAACCACACGCGCCATCTCCAGTAGTTACACAAGACCAAGAACTGTTAATTGCTATAACTCCTCCATCTTGAATGAATCTTTACGGTTCAATAATCACGCTTTACCGAGACTTTCAATAATTCCCGTGAGAGTAACTACGCGTGTTTCCTCCAGCCGTTACACAGAAGAAAGAGCCGTCAATTTCAATAATCTGGCTATTATCAAGCCTAAGAGAAACATCGACGCCAGGAAAAACACCTTGCAGTTCGTACCGTCAATAGCTGTGTCTAATGTAATGAGTTTGGCACCAAAAATAGACGAACTTCGTATTTTTTTGAACACCCACGAGTTTGATCTTTGTTGTATAACGGAGACATGGCTGAAAGATTCTATTGATGACAGCGTAGTTGACATTAGTGGCTACAACATCATACGCAAAGATAGGACCCACAAGCTACATGGGGGTGTGGCTCTATTTGTAAAAGATTCCATCAAATTCTCAATTCTACGGGACTATGAGTTTCCTGACCCCGAGGGCCCTGAGGTTTTGTGGGCCAAAATCACGCCCAACCGATTGCCCCGGGGTTATAGCTGCCTTATCATTGGTACAGTATACCATCCTCCACCGCCTGCCAAAGATGAGCCCCTCCTTGATTACATGATGGATTCTCTCTCTAGGATAGAGAGTGATATCCCTGGCGCAGGTATAATTCTCGCTGGCGACTGGAACAGGGCAAATGTTTCACCAGTTATTAAGCAGTTCCGCCTCACGCAAGTCGTCCATTTTCCAACAAGAGGGGATCGTACACTCGACAAAGTGCTAACTAATCTTACAGAACACTACGAGAAACCTTCTCCATTCCCGCCCTTCGGACTATCCGATCATTGTACTGTTGGTTTGTTTCCAAAAATTAGATCGAAGGCCAATATTCCTGCAAACAGAACGGTTACTACACGTGCTGTTAACGCTGAGTCCAAACAGGCTTTTGGTCGTTATATGACGGGGTCGACTGGTCATTAATCGACACTATAGATAGCGTCCAAGAACAGTATGCTCACTTCAGTGACCTAATTCACATAGGGTTAGATTCTATCCTTCCCAAAAAGCGAGTTAAGTTCCACCGAAACGACGCACCATGGATTTCACCCAAACTCAAGGCACTTATAGCACACCGTCAAAGAGCATATTACCAAGACAACAAACCATTGTTCCACTACTACCGGAACAAAGTAAACAGGGAACGGAAGCTCTGCAAACGCTCTTATTACAACACTAAAGTCAGTGTTTTGACCGAAAACAATCCTAAAATGTGGTGGTCCGAATGTAGGCGGTTATGTGGAATGAACAAAACATCTACAAGTGTCGCAAATCAGCTCCTAGCAAGTAAACCAGCTACCTCAATCAACCTTAAGATCTTGGCTAATGAAATCAACACAGCTCTGCTAGAACCTCAAGCTTCGTTTGACCCACTTTTAGATAATATCGAAACTGTGAGCACTGAGGGTTTTAAAACTCCCATTATTTCACTGGAAACTACCTTCAAATGCCTTAGTACGGTCAGCTCCTCCAAAGCTGGGGGCCCAGATAATATCCCAAACTGGGTCTTGCGTGACTTCGCTCCTGAGCTCGCTCAACCTCTTCGTTGTATCATCAATTCCTCGATTAGCCAAGGGACTTTACCGGACATTTGGAAATGTGCAAACATCACCCCTCTTCCCAAAACAAAGATAGTTGAGGATGCGGCGAAAGATTTGAGACCTATTTCACTGACACCAACGTTGTCCAAAATTGCCGAGCACTACGTCGTCCATGAACATGTGAAACCAGCACTTCTGAAACGCCTGGAACCCGATCAATTTGGGTGTATTCCAGGATCCTCCACTGCGCATGCATTGATAAACCTGATGCACAATTGGGCGCAAGCAACAGACGGAACGGGGAACACCGTGCGGATCTTTGCGTTGGACTATAGAAAAGCCTTCGATCTGATAGATCACAGCCTCTTGCTATCGAAACTCTCGACCTACAATATCAACCCTTACATCATTAATTGGATAATAGCCTTTCTTAAAGATAGGAAACAAAGGGTCAAACTTGCACATGATTGTCTCTCAGAGTGGGGATCGGTCCGAGCAGGAGTACCGCAGGGAACAAAATTGGGACCGTGGCTATTCTTGGTTATGATAAATGATTTGAAAGTACCATCAGCCAGTGATTGTATAAAATATGTAGATGACACGACAGTGTATGAAATCATAAGCAAGGGTGGTCCTAGCAATGCTCAGTCTATGATAAACGAAGTAGCTACCTGGTCAACACTTAACTCGTTTCAACTTCATCCGAAAAAATGTAATGAGCTAAGAGTTTCCTTCGTGCGCTCCCCTCCTTCCTACGATCTCATAGAAATTAATGGCTCTAAGGTTAGCGCCGTTAGTGTCGTGAAATTACTGGGTGTGTATTTTCAAGACAACCTCAAGTGGAACACTCACGTTACTGAGATGATTAAAAAGGCCGCTAAGCGCCTTTACTTTTTAACTCAGTTAAAGCGAGCTAAGGTACCATCACCAGAATTAGTGAATTTTTATGTTGCTTGCATTCAATCCGTCTTACTTTATGGATGTCAGGTCTACCATTATAGTCTCCCCGATTATTTGAGCTTAAGTCTAGAGCGTGTCCAAAAGAGAGCCTTGAAAATTATATACGGTTATGATAATCATTATAGAGAAGTGCTTCAGATGGCAGAGCTGAAAACCCTAAGGGATCGGAGGGAAGACCTTTGCTTAAAATTCTTTAACAACATCGTCTCCAATCCCTTGGATTGTTTGTACCACTTACTGCCTTTCGACAACCGAGATCAACTTATGGAGTTACGACGACGCAGACCATTTAGAGTTTCCTTTAAAACAAATCGGTTCAGAGATACTTTCATTCCAGCAAGCGCAAGACATTTTAATTGACATCTATTACAATTGTATATGGGCCCATATGTAAATTAGTTCCCTTTTAGGTTTGATTTTATTGTATAGTTCTATTATATAATTTGTACACCTTTGTAATTCAGCTTCCAGCTGCTATTAAGGTATTCTTAATAAACGTCTAAACGTCTACTATCTTTGCGTGCATTTCCAAAGAGCCATTGATAATATGTGGGAGATGCAACTCAACGTGAGTTGGAATCATCGAAAGAACTGTTAGGTTTGTTACAACAAAAAAATGTTCCGGCAATCTTTCTCATAAAGCTGCACGTTAAGTCCTACGATTTTTTCCGGCCCTGCTCGGGCAATCACGGCCCTCAAATGGGGACTTTTCTTATATATGTTGTGCAGTAAAAGCGCCCATTGTGCTATACTGGTCATGTGATAAAGTTAAAATTATTTAAAACCGCAGGTCATAAACGTGCTTCAGACACCTAAAATCGCGCAGGTGAATGCATGAGGCATTGCTCTTTTACCTAACTGTCATCATGTAGATATATGTGTAAAAAACGGTTAGACATACCTTCTTTAACACATTCAGTTCCATTTGACAAGATGACTGGATCGCAGAAGTGAAGATAAAGCCGCGCTGCGTAGGTCCTTATCTGAGAGCAACCTTTAACTAGTCTGTGTGATTTATCCCTTGTAGGTCTCAAAAACGCTGAAGAAAATGACTCGTTTTTTATCTGAGAGCAACCTTTAACTAGTCTGTGTGATTTATCCCTTAGGCTTTTGAGCGCATTTGATAGTTTTTAGCGAACAGTAAACAGAAGAAATGGCGACCTTTGTTGCTATGCCGTTTTGTTTCAAAAAAGTTATAAAAAGATAATGCAAAAAATTGAGGACAAAATTGATCATTGCAAAAAAAAATATTTCAAGTTAACACGAAAATCAGATAACACCTAAACAAACAATTTTAGTTACCGATTTTCAGTGAATTTTTAAAGAACAATTTTCTTTTAAGTTTCAAGACAACTGTTACACACCACAAAATTGATAAATAGGCCTGAAATGAAATTCTAACACGTGACTTAAAACACAAAAACGTTCCAGTTTGATTGATTTGATAAAGAGGAATCGTTAATGAAGAAATTGACTCGTTTTTGTCCATCATCCACCTTGTCGATCTAAGTGGTTGGGCGCCTGGTAAGAATTAAATTTAACCGAGTGTTAAAATTTTGACTGATAAGATTCACATGGTCGAACGAGAGCGAAAGGGGTCCAGGTTAATTGTGTAACAAAAAGAAAACCCAAATTCAATGAAATCTGTAAAACTATAAAACGTGGTAAATCAGCTGCCAGATTTGTGCAAGATATGGCCAAATGGCAGCCAAACGGCTACGAGAAAATCAACTTGGAGACAAAAATCGTTTACGCGGCGCAACAAATTAGCTCCATTCTTTGAAGTTTGTTTATTGACATTTGACCATTTTTCTTCATTTGTGAGGTATTTTGATCGAGAATGGAGCAAAAAGGAGGAAAAAAACCACCTTGATGATTTTAGCGTAAGGTCCGGCGGAAAATGTAAATAATCGATTATTAGGATTGTTGTCATCGTCGATTTTAAGAGTTTACAGCCCTCTTCCTTCTAGTTGAGTTATCTTGTTTACATTTTCTGTTTGTTTTTGAGGTCTAAAAGGATGTGTATTGATCAAGGATGGAGCGAAAAGAAGGAAAAACCAGCTAAATCATTTTAGCCAACGGCTCGACGACAGACGCCATTTTAAATTATGTTGATAACTCCATGTAACCGGCCTTTGTACCACCCACCAGACATTTGAACAGAAAACAATAGCGTGACTTTGAGGACAGGGGAGGCGGGAGATAAGGCCTCTGAACCACTAACGCCTGGGTGCACGATGCAGATTTGGCGACCAGAAGAAAAAAAAGGAACGGCTTGCATTTTAAGACTCGGGTGTTCCTACGGAAGCTGGAGTAAAAATCCTGACGTGACAACGTGGAATTAAAAGAATATGATTGGCTCTTAAAATCAGATGATCACAAAGTCATAGTGTGACACCAAACGCCGCAAAGCCTTCAAACTTTGTTTGAAAAATATATATGTTTTTTAATAATAATTTGTATATATAACACAATGCTAGTTTAGTTGTTCTATTTTACGCTTACCAAGAATTTGATAAGTTTCCACATCTTTTTTCAAAAGTTCCGAAGTTTTGAAACTCTTTGTGTGACCGCATGTTAGAGTCCCAAGCCAATATCCCTGCCTAGCATCGCAATGATCCAATTCCTTGAGGCTGACAGAAAAGAGATCTACTTCTCCGGTAAAGAGTTTTGGCAAAGGCTTTTCGCACTTGAATGTAATAGTGGGTTTCATTTCAGGTAATAAAGCTGTTTTTGGCTTTCCAAGCCTTCTGCAAGAGAAAGTGACAATAAATGCCATTGAACGACATGCTATTTATCCTAACTGAACTTCGCAGTTATTTGGCGATGGCTTGTTGGATATGAATGAAGGAAAGTTTGTCAGCTAGGTGCTTATAATAACCTGACATAGGACGAATACCAAGAAAAATTGATGCTACTAAGTGCAATTGTTTTTACCACACATGTAAAGAGTGCTTTTTAGCCAAGCTGATTGGTTAAATTAAAGGATGAGGCGTCGTTTTGGAGCCGAACCTACCTTGCAAGGCTTTTGAAGTAAGACGAGCGGCAAATAGAGAAAGACGAGCAAGATGAAGAGAACTGGAGCATGCTTTTCTAAAAGCTTGAAATACTGTCTGTGTCGTACTCGCCGACAATTTTTTTCTTGGGGACATCTTTAAGAACTTGCTTGTCGAGAGTAACATCTGCCTGCTGTTTGCAAACCCTTCAAACATTTTCCATTCGTATTCCGTCTTTTTCGGTTTTTTCTTTTTGTGTTTGACGACCTTTCGGCGGCGATGAAATCATCTAGTTCTCGAATGAAGTTGTCTTCGTCGTGTTCGTCTTCTCCATTCGTCGCTTGTTTTCCTCCAAAATCTCGAAGAATCCAACTCGAAAGTCTAGGATATCTGCTTCTGAGTTTTGTCCTTTTTGTTCATTTGCGTACTTTTCCTTTAAATGTGTTTCAAAGTTTTCTTCCAGATACATTTTGGCGATCAAAACAAACTTTTGAATTGAGAGGGCCGGACAATGAAATAGACCAATCATAGCGCATTTGCTAACTGAGAGATAAATAATAGGTATCTATTTCTATACACCGCCTGAGGTAGACGTTTGTTATTTTACGGAGTTACCGTTATTCTGGATTTCGAAATGATTATCCACCGTACTCTAAATTAGCGTAGCGCTGAAAAGATAATAGAAAATAGTGGATACTTTTGTCAAGTTCGTGAACTCAGAATAAAACCTACCTGGCGTCCATAAAACTCAAAGTGACATCCGAGGCCATCACATTCGCAAAAGTTAAAAAACCGGCCAGGAGAAGAAAGCGACTGAGCCGTGGCTCGCTCATTTTACTTTTACAAAAACAGCAAGGAAAACACCTCATGTGTTTTTTGATGATCCATGATTGTTAATGACGCGACAAAGGTAATTGATTACATCATCGAATACTAGTCAATACGCGCGCTACTAATTAAAAGACGCTCATTTAGCATTTTAACGAAAATAATTAATTGAAATAAAACAAAAGATAACAGTATATCAGTCTACATCTTTTTGTTTGTATAAAAGACAAAAGCAGCCATATTGTTCCCTTTTGCGAATATTTAATTTCGTTCGATACAATAATTGCGTTAATTTTCTTTACAACTGTACAGTATTCTTACACACGGTTTGCGATTATTAAGAGAGAATACGAAAGATCCCTATTTTCCTCGTCGCAAGACATTAAGTCATGGAATAGAGCTTCGCCAAGATCGGTATCATAGCAAGCGTAGACTTTCGAATCTGTCGTCATTTGGCAATTTTTCCCATGATGTTTTCTTTTCGGTTGACCTCTTTTTCAGGCGTAGAAGGCCTATGAGTATTACGGGTGTAGCTTCTGAAGCCCCAGATTCCATCACATGAAACAAGTATTGTGTTAAACTGTTTTGATCACACCTTTTCAGAGGACAATCGTGCGATCGTATCGAGCCGCCATGTTTGTTTTGCATGTTGACACTTTTAAAGCTCGTGTTATGTTCGCACCCAGATCTCCCGCGGTCCAAAGACCCTATGTAGCCATGAAGCCTCTTTTAAGGGAAATACGAAGCAGTCCTCTATCGTCCATCATTTGCTGAAGCCTCGCCCCGATGCTCGTTTCGCTCGTTTCTCTCTTACCCCATTTTTGGTCAGCGGTGCATACGTGTAGGGATTTTCGGTTGCAAAGAGTCACTCTTAGACTTAGAAAGGATGAATTTGAAGAAGGATAACTGTGTGCATTTTTATTGCTATAAATATATTTATCTTATCATTTCGCAATTGAATGCTCCACCTCTGAAAATAAGAGAACCCTTTCCCAGCCATTTGTCTTCACCGTTCCCCTCTCTAGCCTTATGTCAAAAATGGCCTGCCAAATAAACGATCGCGAGCTTCTAATGCTAATTTGTCATAGTGAGAGGCTTACACCGCAGGCTATTGTTTAGGTCGCAATCCTAAGTCGTACGTATATAGCTAGCTTACTGAGCAAGATTCAAATTGGCGACGTCTGCATCATATCGACTCGATCAAATACTGCAGCGCTTGGTAGTAAGGTCGACAAGTGATATCTTTTACATAACTGACAACATAACTGATTTGCTGTATTTTCAATGGCATGCTTGATTTGCGCCATCGATTACGATAGAAAAATCCACTGCGCAGGACATGCATAGACAACACGTGTTTTGTGAGTAAATTGGTTATAAATCAATAAATCAAGTGCACTGTCATTACGATCCTGTTGGGCACAATAGATAAATTCGAAGAGTGCTCTGAAGGATTTCAAATTAAAAATTAACATGAATCGAAAACAGCATTCATCTGACATGAATACGAAACCAAATAGGGTTTCAAAGGGGAAATTATCAACTGAGTTGCTAAACTAATTTGCTCTTCCATTGGTTTCGCTCTACTTCGCTCTTTGAAACTCTCATCATCCTCTATACCAAAGAGAGTAAAAAGTAAACTCATGGCCAGTTTGTGATGTTTTCCTTTGTTATGATTGGCTGTTGTGGTTACTGTGGACTTGATTTGAAAAGTGTTCTGAAACTTTTTTAAATTTGGGCACAACTTGTATTTTGATTCTCCGAAATTTAGAAATTTACATCTACTTTTTAATCACTTTTCTAGTTCTATTATCGCTTACATCTATGTTCTGAGTGGAGCAATTTCGTTACAATTTTCGTCACTGATTACGAGACAAACTCTCGTTGTAGTCACACAACATTCGCGTTTATTTAATCAAGAAATGAAATACCAGCCATCCCAATAGTGTCATTTCTTGCTTGTTATTTTTATAAACACCTAGCTAGTTATGGAAATCAGACTTTTTACATAGAATAAGTGCTTTCATGCAAAATGTTTCCCGTTAAGAAACTTGACTTATCAAAACTTGTAAACAAACTAGGGTGTGTTTTTAGGGAGATAAGACAGGATTCGTGGGAAAAATTCTGGACTCATCAACCTCGTAATTTTAGCCATCAATTTGCACCTATAACTTTTTAGGTTACATCGCTGCATGTTATGAAGAAAGAAATAGAAATTAACATTTATGAAAGTTAAGGGATTTTCAAATAATACACTCGTAGAGTCTACGACTCATGAGTGCAAAACAGCACTTTTTTTAAGACCAATGAATTACGTTATCTTTATTACATACTTGAAAGTTTTTAATGTCTTGTAGATTTTAATAATTAAAGAAAATCTAAAAACCTTAAAAGCATTTTTCAAAACATAGAAGCTGTCAGAAGTTGTCATTAAAGTGGAAAAAATGTTTGACGTTCGAGTTTGGTATACAATGTTTTTAAAGGGGCGTTTTATTATAGATCTTTACATTTTCACTCCCATGGTGGGCAGCCATAAAGATTTACTGGGACAAAAGAAAGTGTTAACATAGAAAAGAAGATTAAATCACAAAGGTCTGACTTGTTAGACTAACATATCTTTTTATTTCATTGATTTTCTTGTTGGTAAAAATCAAGGAAAATACTTTGAAATCGGACAAATTATCTTTTAACTTAAGCTTTTAAAACAAAAGCAAGAGACGTAAGCGTTCCTTGTTGTTCTGTAAAATAGAAATTATCTTGGAAATGGAAGTTTAAGGTTCCTAATATTGCTTTGAGGGTCGAATCGTTTCAACGGGACCCATTTCCGCAACCTTGACAAATAGTCTTAAGAAACATTAGCCAAACTTAGCGCAGGGCATCTTCTCATTAAGTTCTTTCCTCTCGCCCCTCCACAACCCCTGTACCCTACAACGTGTCGTATTTTTTCTTTGAAAAGAACCAATTTAGTTTCAAATTAAAGTTTGAAGTGACATACATGCAACGACGAATGAATTAAGACTTTATAAGCTTGTAGTTTTCAAAGGTGTCTGAGGAACTTTTGGTCGAGAACAATGTTATTGATAGGTCGAAATCACCACAGAGGAACCACTCTTGCAGCTGGTTTTATTTAAGCAGTTTATTTTGGCTTACACCGGATTTCATCGACGCTTAAGTAAAAGAACAAGTTTAAATATATCGGTTGTAAGTTGTACATTGACTGACATAAGATTTAGGTACGACAATTACTGATAAAAAGTTTTCAATTAGCAGCACAGTAAGTGACAAAAGTGTTCCTCTAGTAGTGCAATAACTGGTAAAAGAGTGAAGATGTAAACTGTCTTCAATGTACTAGACGAATTCTCTTGAGAATTAACCTCATGAAGTGGTGCTGAAGAAAGAAAGAAAAATAGGCAGTGAGATCAAGAAATTCATCCCTTTCCTAAAATAGTTGTAAAAACCTCAAACATTCAGGGAGTATTCTTGGCGAAATAGCAGTTGCTAAAATGGAACAAAAACTGGCCAATACCTTTGGAATATAATTTGTTTAGATACCTTCCAGGCAAGTTAGAAATATCCTTGTTAGAATTATTGAGACATTTTCTATTGAGTGACAGTAGTAATCCGGAATTACTTTGGTTTTGCATTACGTTCCTCTGCGATTGGTCCGGAAAACGCCACTCTCTCAACCAATCAGTTGCAAAACTAAAACGAATCACGGTTTGGTCACGTTTTTCTGCGCTCTAGGCCGTTTGGTTGGTTTTACTTCGAGTTCTGATCCGCTCGTAAACTTATTTCCCCTTTTTCTGATTGCCCGTTGTGACAACGACACTCATAGAGTAAGAAATAAAGTGTGCCTTCTTTGTAATAACTATCACCCGAGGACATGGAGCCGAAGGGTACGAGTAAATTAAGTAATTCTCGTTATGTGTGAGCTGTGAGTCTTCAAGCTTCCTGCCGAATCATCAGAGAAGACTTACAATGTGAACACTTTTGTATCTGATATGAGAAAAAGGAATTCTCGTATCAGACCAGCAGAATGTGTTTTTAGGATTACAAGAAAAGTAGGTAAAATCAGTTATGAATTAGATTACCGTTTACATTAAGAGAATATACAGTTAATATTTTCTTGGTTCACATTTACTCCAGAGGTGCATCTGATGATTCAGACAGCACAAAGCTTCTTTAGAAAAGAAATACCTGCACAAGTTCCGTTTTTGACCAAAGTTAGTTCTTCCTTTCCGCAAGCTGAATTTTTCAAAAGACACTCGTTGTCACATGTCACATTATCCGAACTTGTTTCACAGCTTCAGGAGATTCCTGAATGCACTCGCATTTTTCTTCGTTTCCCTTGTGCTTCACGCAGTGAGAAAACAGAGAAGAACACTTTTTGTCACAGCCTGAGAGGTGAAAATGAAATAGAAGCTTTTAAACTTAGAACATCTGGGAACTGCTGGAGCTTGTAAAAAACTTATATCCTCAACAGAAGAAAATTCAAATTCTCGCCATCTTTGAAAATTGCAGAGGTTTATGGAACAGATATAGAGAATAATAGACAGACGCACGTAGATATGGAATTTCTCTTCGAATATTTGACTCGATAACTCACGAGTGAGCGCAGCGAATTAGCGTCACTTTTGTTCACCATTAGATGTCTTGAGAATTAAAACTCAGGTTGTTCCTTTCGTGTCTGCTGTAGGCCGCCTCAGTTGAATATGCCACACCAAACAGTTTGGTTACATACCTGTGCAGGATCTTTATTCTACGATCTCTATTTCAGTGTGATTTTCGCAGGCTGCTTTCTTCAGCAGGCATTCGTTGTCATAAGTCACATTATCTGAGCCACAAACTTCTTTCATCATTTTAGGACATTCCTGAATACATTTGCATTTCTCTCCGCTTCTGTTGTTGTTCACGCAGCGAGAAAAAGGAGCATTACACTTTTTTTTTTGCAATCTTTAAATGCTGCAAACATTGAGGAGGGTGAAAAATATATTGTTAAGCCTGTCCTTGCGGACACTCTTGTCATACGGACACTCTTGTCATACGGACACCTATCAATCTCGGCCAGCTTTTCATGTCCTTAAGGATTCAACATTTTTTCTTAAAAAGAAATAAAAAACCCGTAAAAGGGGAACGTTTTTAATATGGAAAACGGATACTAAATCACGGCCTGAGAGAACGAAACACAACTAGACTCAATCTCTTAATCACAGACAATCCGCTTATAACGAGATTATGTTTTGTGTTGGTGATACAACTGTTGCACAAACATCAATTGACGAAGTTGTGCGCAGTTTGTTCAAGTATTTTATTTAACTTGATCCGAGCAAGGGAAGGGATCGAGGACAGCTTTTGTTGAAAGATACCCTGAACTCAATTTCTCGCTCCCGGCAAACTTTACAAACTTTCTGAGACATATATTCGGTCAATTTGTAAAACTCTTAGCTTATCCTGATGTGCACGTTTACAAATGTTTAGCTGTGCGATAGGGAACGGAAGAAACCAATGTTATGCCTACTCGAGAAGAATTAAAGGGTGAGCTTTCGTGACTAACCGTCCTGATAGAGCCTGGAAATATCAAGGCAAAACTTGCAAGTCATCCCCAATTTTTTTTTTCTTTGTGACAGCGTTATACTTTTTCCAGACCATAAAACATTCATGTCAAGTACAAAATTTGTAGTTGAAAGTTTAGAGATACCTACTTTTCAATAATGTTATAACTTACTTTAAGAATTTTACAATTTTGTTCCCAAGATGACATTGACTAATATTTATTTTACTTTATTTCCAATACACGGGAGAAGTGTTCGCTTCCAGCCAAAAGTAAATTCAGGATGGCAACACTTAGGTGAATCATTTTCCGCAAATGGTGATTCAGTATATATAAACAAAAGCCTCCATTAAGCAAGCGTGAAAATATGCATTTGATATTTGTCTGCGAACATTATCTGTTCCTAGATGCGAAAGGTTTTCCGAGAGCGAAGCTCGAGGACAACTATAAGATACAAGGAAGAGATACTGTTCCAGGAAGAGATACTATTCCGATGCTCGGGAAAAACTGTTTACGAACAGCTTAGCGTTTGTTGCGCGGATGTTTACTTTTCGCTGGTACGACTTTATGAAAAACAAAACGTCCCTCGTTTTATAACAAAAGCCCAACGCTCTCTAATCTAATCAAATTCAAAATGAGGGCTCTCATCGTAATATCGCTTGGAGTATATTGTCATTTGCCACTTTAAGCTACCGCATATTCGTTCACGTGTGGCGTTTAGACTAATTGCGCGCAAGCAACAATGTTTGCTGGGTTAATAGCTGATAGCCAGAGTGGACAAAACCCATCAGAACACTAGAAATGCAATATCCGGTCTTTGTAATTTAATCCAATAAGGTGTCAATCATTAGCAGTAGCAGTTACTAAAGCAACTGAAGGTTTAAATTTGTCATTATCCGAAAACTTCTAGATATGCCCCCTGAGATCGGGTATTTAGAAGCTTTGAGGTTCTAATGCGCGTGAAATAATAAGATCTTTCGTATGCCTTTTTTTTACTATACCAACAAGTTGTGGTCAATAACCACAAACGCATTTACCAGCCTGGCATGTCATTTACCTCGACATACTTTCCAACAGTCATTGAGATTTCCATTGCATCCACCATAACTAAACGGTTCACATTGTTTAGTTTCCTTGTTAAAAACCATCTGGGAAATGAAGCCTTACAATTACCAGGCTGTTTGGTCAGATTACAGCGAATTGGTTCTGCAAAGAAATGACAAGTTTAATTTTAATGGTCCACTAAATTTTACCGTCATCGAGACATGTAAGAATGAAAAGGGGTAGAGAAAATCTTAAAAGTCTTTGATATACTTTTAACTTCACAGTTTTAATAAGTCTTACCTTCTCGCTGCCTTTGCTTCGATGAAAACAGTGTCAACACGAATATGTCGCCAGTGCGACATCCATATATCTCGACACTCATACACATCCGACCAAAATAAGACGTAAGATATAAAAGAACTTTTGCAGTATACAAGTGACGCTTCAGCCGGTGACGGACGATAGAGGACTGGTCTGTGTTTCCCTTAAACTCCTAAGGAAAAAAACGACATGTAGGTGCTGTTGAAAACTAATGATTTAACGTAAAAATCAGTGGCTTATTTTCCATCTCTGAATTTCTCTACAACAAAAGGTATCTAAAAAATTTTACCATTAGTGAGTTGTAGACAGTTTTGTCAATTCATACAGAAAAAAATGAAATAAGTAAAATAAATGAATTTAAAAGAAAGATAAGAAAAAGAATGACGATAGTATGACTGTAATTCCTCCATTTTTTGAATGTACACTACAAACAATGTTAACAACGGGTCTTAGCCCCTCTTTTCCTTGTATTGAGATACTAACTTAAAGTAACTACATAGAACATTTGTTATGACAGCCACCTTGATGTGTCCTTTGTTATCAGTGACTGGATGAAAAGGGCTATTTGGAGTTTTGCTATAGACGAGATAACTGCTGACCCAACTCCTTTCTGTAACTGCTCCTTGGGTAGCAATCGCTCATATCGCATAAGCTGAATTGCTTAAATGCGCGAACAGATATACTGCTTTCTGGCTATCTCCTAAGGCACACCAGAAACTATCAATCACACAATAACAATTGAAAGGTCAATTGCATAGAGGGCTTTCTGGCCCACGAAGCCGTCAAAGGTCTGCGCACGTGCGAACTTTGTAACGGCTGCGTGGCGTGCTTTCAGGTTGTTACGAGTTACGAGCAACTGGGCAAGCCAGAAAGTTACGGTATAAATTTCCTTTTCAAGCTCAAACAAAATGATTGAAATTGTTCGTGGGAATTGGCGCGCGGCTGGTCAAAGTTGATCCTTTTGCGCATGTTCAACAGTTAACTGCTGTGTTTGCTAGCCCCGTCAAAACTTACGCTTGACGGCCTATGTGGGTTTGCATATAAAGACTGTTTAATTATTCCAGCAAATGGGGAGTTTGGATCATGGCCGAAACACCACCGAAAAGCTGGCCAACGTCAGAGACCGCGGCGAAAAACCTTTGTTGGATTTCAAAACGTTTAGTAGGAATCGATTTGGGAGTTAACAGGAGAACAGGTTGATTAAAAGTCAAATCAGCTCTTACAAAACCGGCGAACTATCTAATAATACCCTTCAGGTTTTTTTAATGGTCTGAGCGAAGCAGTGTCGATGAGTCATGCATGTCCGGCAGCGTGGTTCTTGTCCAGTGTAAATGGTGAATACACAAGAGGAAAATTCGTTTTTCGAAGAAAGACGTGTAACGACATTGGACAAGCTGAAAGCAAATGAACGAATACGAACTCAGTTCAGTGTTATGCGATGTTGAGCGACACACATCGAAATATTTAAGAATTACTGAGTGGGCGAGATATACGTGTAAATATTTGGCCGGCAGTTATGACGCTCGAACTTCGTTAAAGCTCAGTCCGAGTGTCGTGACCTAGGGCGATATATTTTCCCGTCGAGCTCTGCCTAACTTAATCAATATGGATTTAGTGTCCATATGATCATCCTAATTTCTCCATTTTCCCTTCTCAGATTTTACCCATCTATCAGCGATGACCAGCTGGTTCCTATCGATTTGCGCGCATTTCCAAAGAGCCAGTTAATATATGGGTGATACGACTCACAGTTGCAATTATCGAAAGAAATGTTAGGTTTGTTAAAACAGCAAAATGTTCTGGCAATCTTTCTCGTAAAGCTGCACGCTAAGTCCTACGATATTTTCCGGCCCTGCTCGCGCAATCACGGCCCTCAAATGGGGACTTTTCTTATATACATTGTGCAGTAAAAGCGCCCATCGTGCTATACTGGTCATATGATAAAGTTAAATTAATTTTAAATGAACCGCAGGTCATAAACGTGCTTCAGACACCTAAAATCGCGCAGGTAAATGCATCAGGCATTGATCTTTTACCTAACTGTCATCAGGTAGATATATGCGTAAAAAACGGTTAGACATACCTTCTTTAACACATTCAGTTCCATTTGACAAGATTACTGGATCGCAGAAATGAAGATAAAGCCCCGCTGCGTAGGTCCTTATTTGAGAGCAACGTTCAGCTGGTCTGTGTGATTTATCCCTTTTTACATGCTATGCCTGAAAGTTATGCAAAAAAGGTAATTAAAAAAAATTCTGAAAATATTTCAAGTGCAACTGAGCAAAAAAGAGCGTGAAAAAACACATTTTGAACGGGAAATTTCACAGCAGAATCAACATTTAAAAAGCAAATGAATAAAATCCTAGACTAATCAACAGAACTCTTATCGAGTGAAGGCAAAAGATTCGAGCTAAAGAAAATTTACCCCAAAATAGACGCCGTTAAAGCGTAAACACGAGCTTTTATAACTCGGATTTTTTTAGGAATGAAAGGGCGATTCCCATGCGAAGTAATAATGACCAGTGTTCGTAGTTAGCATGCGCAGTTTTGTTGGAGAGTGTCTGGGCGAGTTGCGTTTATGCGTACATGAAAGCTTTGTGCATGATTTTCTTTGATTGATTGAGGTTATTATAAGGAGCGCTAATCCATATGCGTAATAACAACAGACAAAAAATTAGGTCTCAAGACAACAAGATAAATTTAATTTACGGACTAACAGTATAAAAGATATTGTAGAATGGCGGCGAAAGAAAAATTGAATCTGTGCCTAAAGATGGAGTTAAATTTAACCAAGCGTTAAAATTTTGACTAACAAGATTCACACGGCTAAACAAGAGTGCTGAGAGAGCTTCCAGGTTAATCGCGTAACGAAAAGAAAGGTAAAATCGGATGAAATTCTTCAAACTTTAAAACATGGTAAATCAGCTGCCAGATTTGTGCAAAATATGGCCAAATGGCAGCCAAACGGATACGCGAAAATCAACTCGGAGAAAGAAGTCGCTTACATGGCACAACAAATTACCTCCTTTCTTTGAAGCCTGTCTATTAACATTTGAACATTTTTCTTCATGTCTGCTCTTGATTTGAGATGTATTTTGATCAAGAATGGAGCAAAAAGGAATAAAAAAACCACCTTGATGATTTTAGCGTACGGTCCGGCGGAAAATTTATATATCGATCTTTGGGATTGTTGCCATCGTCGATTTTAAGACTTTGCAGCCCTTCTCCTTCTAGTTGAGTAATCTTCTTTTCTGTTTGTTTTTGAGGTCTAAAGGATGTATTTTGATCAAGGATGGAGTGAAAGAAGGAAACACCAGCTGGATCATTTTAGCCTATGGCCTGACGACAGACGCCATTTTGAATGTTGATAACTCCATGTACCCAGGAAAAAATGTCGGCCTTTGTACCACACACCAGACATTAGAACAGAAAACAAGAGCATGACTTTGGGGACAGAAGCAGACCTAGTAGGGGAGGCGGGAGATAACGTTTTTGAACAACTAACGCCTGGGTGGACGATGCAGATTTAGCGACTAAAAGAGAAAAAGGAATGACTTGCATTTTAAGACTCGGGTGTTTCTAAGGAAGCTGGAGTAAAAATTCTGACGTGACAACGTGGAATTAAAAGAATATGATTGGCTGATCAGATGATTACAAAGTCATAGTGTGACACCGAACACCGCAAAGCCTTCAAACTATGTGTTCGAAAAATACATATTTTTTGAAGAATACTGACTTGTATAATTAACACAATGCTGATTAATTTTTTATATGTTACACTTCCCGAGAATTTTATAAACTTCCACATCTTTTATCGAAAAGAGCGAAGTATTGAAACTCTTTGTGTGACCGCATGATAGAGTCCCAAGTAAATATCCCTGCCTAGCATCGCAATGATCCAATTCCCGGAAGCCGACAGGGTAGAGATCTACTTCTCCGGTAAAGATTTTTGGTGAAACCTTTTCGCATTTGAATGTAATAGTGAATTTCATCCCAGGTAATAAAGCCGTTTTGGGGTCTCTGAGCTTACTGCAAGAGAAAGTGACAATAAATGCCATTTAAGAGAGGATGTCAGCATCCATCGAACAAATTTGAAATATTGTGGCAAGTCGCCCAAATTTGTTTTCCCTCCTACTTTCATATTTTGTATCCCAATATGTTCTTATAATTGTGGTGTAGTTTTTTTTGCGAAAATATATTTTAGTTTTCGAGAAATGACTTTTTTCGTTCGACCGCTCAAACATGCAAATTTTCACCTTGAATATTACCCGAGTTGTGTGACCTCATGTAACGAATGTACTGGACCTACGGTATTTCTGTGAACATAATCCTTTGTTTTATCATCTAAACTTAATCCCCTGTCGTTATTGAAGCTGCCAAGGAAATATTTATTTTTTGGTGAATATTTTTGTCCGACATACTTTTCCTATGTCGAAAAGTAGCATCAAAACAAAGACAGTTTTAACAATGACCGATATGACACAATCTACTGAGCTTCAAGCTTTTAAGAGACCAAAGGATGGTTATAAAGTTACTGTAAAAATTTCCTTGTGTATTTGCGTTGTTATATTTTGAGACGAACTCAAAGTCCGGCAAAATTTACTTGATAGCGACTATGAAATGTACATGGTGCGCCTACTTGTCGCCACCGTTAACTGGCATAAATCACTACAACTTGTAAAAAAATCTAACATAACACTCTTACCTTGTTTATTTATGATTTTATTAGCTGTTTCGATGATCACGTTAATTATGCTCTACCACATTCTAGCCAGATTTGAGTTCCAGTTTATATATCTTCTCTAACTTATTATATCAGTTGCGTGACAAGCGTGACACAGAAATTCAAAGATGAGTCAACCTCCGAAATACCAAGAGATGGGTTTTTTTTTCTCTTTGCATGACATCTAGAAAAACCTTGCAGGAATTACTGCATTCAGAAAACTAAAATGTCCAGATCCATCAATAATTCCTTTGCCGGCTGAAGTTAAAGTATGGTTAATATTTCCTTGGCAGCTTCAATAAAGACGGGGATTAAGTTTAGATGATAAAACAAAGGATTATGTTTACAGAAATACTGTAGGTCTACCACATTCGATACATGAGGTCACACAACTCGGGTAATATTCACGGTGAAAATTTGCATATTTGAGCGGTCGAACGAAAAAAATT